TACTGCGTTTTCCTTTCTTCGACAATTAGATTGGTTAAAGCAAGGTAATAAGGCAAGGAATGTTATTTCAGAGGTGTGCGCATTTTTCGTACTGCAGTGTACTGTCTCCGGGCACTAAAGTAAACACAAGATAGATGTCACAGCCTGAAATGGAATCCATCTTGCACTTAAAAAAATCCATGAAATATTCTGTTCATAGGAAACTATTATGTGAATTTTCAAAATCAAGTGCTTTTATCCTCCTCGGCTACTGATGCATCTATTCTTGTTTACAAATACCGCCCAGAGCCGCAATTAACTTTACTTGCATTATTACCTTGTAGGAGTATTTTTATGTGACCCTCCATGCAAAGACGGCAAAGTCCAATGCACAACGGTACCCTTGAAAACTTCATCTGATGCGCAGTGTGGAAGATGTTGTGGTTGTTCCAGGTTTAAAAGCGTTGATTTCTGATAATTCCTAAACTTCCGCAGATGACTTTTGTATAGAAACCTGAATTGAAAATAATCAGTTTTCAAGATTATAAGTATTGATTTATAGTTCATACTTGATCAAAAAACACTTTCAGAGGTACTGTTATGAATCGGGCATTACCATCTTTACATGAAGGGTTACTTGAAATGACACTTACACTAAAGTCCCTAAAATTAATTTCAAACCTTAATATTTAGTTTTTTTAGAAAGATGTTAAATAAAAAAGACATTTTGTACTGATTTTGATCGACTAATATGATGACGAATATCAAGTTTAAATTTTATCAAATCTACTTAAATCCTTCCGATACTATTTTTTTTTCTTACAAAGGGACCGTGGGTGGGGGAGGGGGGGGGTAGAGATTGTTCTTAAATTTAAGGATGGTTCTAGAATTTAGAATCTCCAGGTTATCTGTATACCAGGGATCATGACAAGGCAAGGAATTATCTTTAATCTGAGGTCGGGATACATCAAACACACAGATATACATTCAATAGGAGAACATGGAAACATAGCATAGATGAACCTGGATACAAAGGAATGGGGAACCTGGATACAAAGGATAGGAGAACCTGGATACATAGGATAGGAGAATCTGGATACATAGGATAGGAGAACCTGGATACATAGGATAGAAGAACCTGGATACATAGGATTGGAGAACCTGGATACATAGGATAGGAGAACCCGGATACATAGGATAGGAGAACCTGGATACAAATAATAGGAGACCCTGGATACATATGATAGAAGAACCTGGATACATAGGATAGGGGAACCTGGATACAAAGGATAGGAGAACCTGGATGCATATGATAGAAGAACCTGGATACATAGGATAGGAGAACCTGAATACATAGGATAGGTGAACCTGGATACAAAGGATACAAGAACCTGGATAGAACGGGATATTCTTAATACCGATCGGTTAAAAATCTGGAGATTAAGAAAAAGAGAGGATCAAGCATTAATCCCGATATTCAACATTCAAAAGTTCTCAGCTCTGGATACATATGATAGACACTTTACACCGCATTTTAACCTAATAATAAGTTAAAAAAGCTTTATGTTGTTAAGTTTAAGATAAATCTCAAAAATCCGTAAACATTATATTCTTCCATCAAGATTCAGGACTCCTAATGTTGTAGTAGACACGTACTCCATACCCTAGATAGAGTAGAGAGTGATTCATCAAACCATAAATAGAACAGTACTATCTTTATGTGTAACAAATTAATTTTTGTTTCAAACATAACCTTATACAATTCACAGTATGAATAGTATACTTCTAAACCTTGCAAAATGATATTTGCAACTCATAATAATAAACTTCTAAAACCTTTGACATGGAGGTTTATCTAGACCTTTAACTATACTGATGCATGATAAGGTTATGTTCTGAATTATCTTCCTCCAACTAAAGTTAGTATTCTACATGTAGCGGATGGGCTTTACAACTATAATCAGTCAATTTGGTAACCACAGTAAACCTTAGTTTATTCAATATGTATGGTTCAGTAAAACGAATTGTAAAAAAAATGTTTTTACAAATCTTAATGTTGAAATATATTATTATTATTATTATTATCATTATCTATATATTAGAACTGAATTTTTAAATGAACTTCTGTAAATAATATATAGTGGCACTTCGAGATATTTTGAGGAGTTCAACTTCCGGAAAAAGTCATGCCCCCCACTCAAGCCCGGAACCATCAACACTCAGAAGACATAAACCAAGCCCTTCTCTCCCCTCCCCCTCCCCATCCCCTCCCACTGGTTATATTGAGTTCTTCCTTAATTCAAATCAATGAAGAAAGAATTTATTATAAATTAATTCTCATTTTCGTGCTAAACGATTCTTTGTCAAACTCAGCAGTTTTCATCAAGGAGTAAATTAATCAGGAATCATCTTCAAATCTTCCAATGGATGTTGAATTCAGCTGATGAATTGAAATCAGCTGATGAATTGAAATCAGCTAATGAATTGAAATCAGCGGATGAATTGAAATCAGCTGATGAATTGAAATCAGCGGATGAATTGAAATCAGTTGATGAATTGAAATCAGCTGATGAATTGAAATCAGCTGATGAATTGAAATCAACTAATGAATTTAAATCAGCGGATGAATCGAAATCAGCTAATGAATTCAAATCAGCTGATGAATTTAAATCAGCTAATGAATTAAAACCAGCTGATGAATTGAAATCAGCTACTGAATTGAAATCAGTTGATGAATTGAAATCAGCTGGTGAATTGAAATCAGCTAATGAATTGAAATCAGCTGATGAATTGAAATCAGCTGATGAATTGAAATCAGCTAATGAATTGAAATCAGCGGATCAATTGAAATCAGCTAATGAATTGAAATCAGCTGATGAAATAAAATCAGCTGATGAAATAAAATCATATGATGAATTTAAACAAGCTAATGAATTGAAATCAGCTGATGAATTGAAATCAGCTGATGAATTGAAATCAGCTAATGAATTGAAATCAGCGGATGAATTGAAATCAGCTAATGAATTGAAATCAGCTGATGAAATAAAATCAGCTGATGAAATAAAATCATATGATGAATTTAAACAAGCTGATGAATTGAAATCAGCTGATGAATTGTAATCAGCTTATGAATTGAATCAGCTAATTTATTAAAATTAGATGATTTATGGAAATCAGCTGATCAGTTGAAATAAGCTGGTTAATAAAAAATGGCTGATATCAAAATGAAAGCTTAAAACTTTTTGACAAGAATATATTCAGCAACTTACGGCTGCAGTATTATCTTGTTACAAAGGAATGGAGTCTTTGCGCCATAAACTCAAATTTTCAAATCTTTGTTGTAAACCTTTGATATTTCAAATTTAAATTATTTGATCTAACGAAATTCATAATTTGAAATATTTGAGGTCTACGTTATTTGGTTGTAAAAATAAAGGATTTTAAAAATTTGTAACTAAGCCTCAATTCCTATAAATGAAAGCTGGACTGGATGTAATTCCAAGCAAACCTCATATCAAGCAGTTATTTACCCTCTTCACAGCGGTACCCTTCCAACCTTTATCTGAGTAACAGTGGGGAAGATATCCTCGTTATAAATTTTCCTTTTTTGTCTTCATAAATCTGCAAATCCCCTTCATAAAGAAACTGCAATCAGAAATGATCAATTTTCAGACAAAAAAAGGATATTTTCATTATTTTTTCTGAAACAAATGTGTCTAGGGTAACGTTGTACCTCGGGTATGTACAAATTCAATTCGTTGACCCTTTAGAATGTGTGGATTGTAAAAATATAAAGTACAACTCGTGAATTATATAGAATATTTTCAAGGAGTTTACATGTAAAGAAAAATATATGAAATCAACTGAAACGCCAGTTTATTTTTTCGAGCATACTCTTGTTTTAAAGTTATTAAGGTTGTAACTTTTAACTAAGATTACGATTAAGAATTTAATTAAAAGTCGAAGTATCTTTCAACGCATAGATAAGTCAGAATTCAGATCACAGACGTGTCATTCAGAATTCATTCTGAATCTGTTAAATAGCCACTTTGATTACTATTTGTATTTGAACAAAATACCTATGTTTTTATATCATAAACTCCGGGCCCATTTAATTTTGATGCGGGTACGGATCCTGGAAAAAAATGGAATCGGATCCACGTCATTAACATTTCTTTAATATTTACTGATTCTTTTTAACTAAGCAGAAAATATTAAGTCCTCAAGAATTAAATGCTAGTCTTAAGCTGATTTATTGGATTAACTAAATCTGTTAAATATTTCATCTATGGCCTGAACCCTTGAGAATGATGTTTCTCTGGTTTAGACCAATAAAATAATCTAAACCGTTCCGAATTCACAGAACGCACATCTTCACTCTCGGTTAAACTCAAGATTATTAATGCGCTGTAATTTTGAAAACCATAATAGTTAAAAAGAGGCCCTACATCTTAAAAGTTAATGAGCTTTTAGTTGGGATTTCACAGATGTGATATGTCTTAGATTATATTAAGCCTTTTGCGATTTTTTTTAACAAATCTAAAAATGAGAGACTAAAACTCAGCCTTATTCGATAAAAAAACAGTATTGTTTTAGTTCGGGGAAACCTTAAAAAATTAATATTTATAACTTTAACAAATCAAGTATTGTACAGGGGTTAGAAATTAAAACTGTTTAGAATAGATCGTTTACTTTAACTAGTACTTTATTTAATACAATTTATATGTAGATATGCATAACACTCACCTCTGTCCCTTCAGTAAAAGTTAATTCAACATAAATGAAGTCTGACCGCGTCAACCATGTTGCACCAGCTAGTCCTGTAGATTGTCTTCTTTATTAACCCAATGTCCGTGCGGTACAGTACAAACTGGGACCGGAAAGAATGACCCGGCTCGGAAATTCAAATGTACTACGGATGCCCGTGATAAACATTCAGTAACTAACATACACTTACTAGCATACATAAAATACAGAATCAGAAAGACTTAATAAACATAATTTTATTTTTTTTTATTTAGAATATCGTTGTAAGCCTGTGCTGGGCGGAAGATGGGGACGAACTCCTTCAAGGGGCGGAGAACGGCAGATATAAAATAGTGGTCAAGGCGGAACCTTACAAAAACCTTCCGGTAAGTAAACATGCCAAAAAAAAAGTGATGAAATTGCACCAAGAGGAGATGCATGTTCGGGGTTATACTGTTTAAACTGATACAAGGGTTGGATGCATCTAATAATAATATGTTCCTAACACAGCTTCATAAACAAAACACAAAGAAAATTTAACAGAAAAGACGTTGTACACAAATAAACTTTGGTCCATAAAGGCAATTAACTAAAAACATGAAACATTTTCTTTTAACCAGGGAACATAGTCGTGTTTGAACTTTAGAGAGTCAGATTTAGATCAGAATTACAGACAAGAAAATTCTGTAGATAAATAAAAAATTGCCGGGCCATGAACAGCATAAAAGCCTTGAAAAGGCTTTTTTTTTAGAAGAGCGACATAGATAACAAAAGGTAAAATAAATGTCAAGAAAATATTACATTTTATTCAATACCATCTTTTTTCATTTGAATTCTTTTCAATATAAGTTATTTTTCCAATTATGTTTATATGGAATGATTTAATAATTGTTTTCTGATAAGATCATAATTCTGAAGATAAAATGTTTTGGTTCGATCAATATAATTATTCAATTTTGTATGCTGCCATACTTGTTCTTTTTTATGCGAAGCAAGACTACAAAATCCTGCTAATTGCAGCAATTTTCTCTATAATTGTAAAATGTTCTGCAGTGATTTTAGAGTGCATTGTGCAGCATGCAGTGTGCATTATGCACTTTGTTTATACAAGTTTGTGTGCTGAAGGGTAATTTGTGTCGTACAAATTACCCCAAACCTTAAGGATGGAAGTAGTTAGATAGTTGGATAGTTAGATAGTTAGATAGTTGGATAGTTAGATAGTTAGATAGTTAGATAGTTGAATAGTTGGATAGTTGGATAGTTGGATAGTTTAGATAGTTGGATAGTTGGATAGTTAGATAGTTAGATAGTTGGATAGTTGGATAGTTGGATAGTTGGATAGTTGGATAGTTGGATAGTTAGATAGTTAGATAGTAAGATAGTTAGATATTTAGATAGTTAGATGATTAGATATTTGCATGGTTAGATAATTTGATGGCGGGACAGTTTGATCAAATTAGATGTCTTTAGGTTTTAAAATTTGATAGTTTGATGGTAAGTTAGTTGGTTAGTTAGGTATGTTGACGATTTGATAGTTTGTTAATTTGATAGTTTGATAGTTAAATGTTTTGACAGTATGATGTTTAGATATTTTGATTGTTAGGAATTTTTATAGTTGGATAGTTGAATGGGTAGATAGTATTATAGATAGATTGTTTATGGGTTGAGAGTTTATAATTGAATAGTTTTGTTGTTAGAAAGTTTGATAGTTTGATTGATAAATTGTCAGATAGTTAGATATTTTAATACTTAAATGGATTGATATAGTTAGACTGTTTAATAGTTAGACAGTTAAATGGTTAGACATTTTTATAATCGTAAAGTTTATAATTGAATAGTTTTGTTATGAGATAGTTTGATAGTTTGATATCTGAATGGTTAGATTGTAGGAAAATTTTACTGTTAGAAAATCTCTGGTTGGATAGTTGTTAATATTTATATATATTAAGATGCTTAATAGGGACTGGAGTTAGAAAAACGACGTTATCTTCCACATTTTTAACAGATTAAAGTTTCAAGGGTACCGTTGTAAATCGGGCATAGCTATCTTCGCATTCTTTATAATTGATAACTTTAATATTACGCTTACGTTAGATAGTAGAATAGTTGCATTTTAGTTATATTGAATTATAGTTAAAAGTCTTGATAGTTATTCAGTAATTCAAATTTTAGTCAGTGCAACAATAGGCAAATATTTTACGTATGTTAGATAATTTGACTATTCATAGTTTTAAACCTATAGTTAGAAGAGAGAGGAAAAGATGCAATAAATGCTTGGGGTGTTGCAGTTACAACGCTTGGGGTGGTTGCAATAAAAAGGTTGGGGAGTTGCAAAAGTTAAATGTCAAGATCGTTTTTACTGCGATGGAATCCCATATACACTACAGCTTGTATATATATATATACATATATACACTATAGCTTGTGCATATATAGATATATATATATAATGAACGCAGAAATCTACACCACCTACTATATATCTACAATATATATAAATATATATTGCTCAAGAATATCTACAAAAGATGGGACAACATGGGGGACTTTAACTTTAAATAATATGCCTATATTATTTTCATGCTTTTAAAATATTAAAGTTGATTAATTTTTATCTTTATCATATTTTCCTTTTCCAGTTCTTGCAATCTTTTTTCTAACTTTTTTGCAATGTAAAACTTAGAATTTTGCGAATTTATCCTTTTAAATTGGTTGATTTTGAAAATTGAAAAATGTTGACAGTTTTTCAAACAAACACTTAACTTTAACCATCTAAACCCCTTGGGAGTGCCACAATCAATTTTGATCAGCCATTTTTATGTTCATTGGAGTAATTAATTCGTCAAATTATCAACTTTAGAATGCATATTAGATAATTAGATTATAATAGATTAGATAAAACTAGATTATGAAGAAAATGATTTTATTTGTTTTGTTTAGCCTGCACCAGTAACCCCAGGAGATTTTTTGGATTCTACTACACCAGCTTCGAGACATGTCACGTGGTCAGACTTCAGGTAAATATATTCTACAACACCAGCCTCTAGACATGTCACGTGGTCAGACTTCAGGTAAATATATTCTACTACACCAGCCTCTAGACATGTCACGTGGTCAGACTTCAGGTAAATATATTCTACATCATCAGCTTCAAGACATGTCACGTGGTCAGACTTCAGGTAAATATATTCTACAACACCAGCTTCAAGACATGTTACGTGGTCAGACTTCAGGTAAATATATTCTTCAACACCAGCCTCTAGACATGTCACGTGGTCAGACTTCAGGTAAATATAGTCTACTACACCAGCTTCAAGACATGTCACGTGGCCAGACTTCAGGTAAATATGTTCTACTAAACCAGCTTCGAGACATGTCACGTGGTCAGACTTCAGGTAACTCAGAGTTAGAAAGTTATGAATGGTGTTCAAGTTGAACCTAGCTCAACCATCATGGTTCAAGCCCAAAATTACTTTGAAAGTTTATTAAGAAATTGAGGTTTTCCCACAAACTCTGATATCCCTATATCTTAGGACTTAGATATTTCAAACTATGAATTCTGTCAGACAAAATAATCTAAGTATGAAACATAAAAGGTTTACACCATCAGGTTACAGATATGTAGGAATTAGAAATTCAAATCCACCTCAGTACATAAAAATCAATATGAGTTCAGGAAATCTGAAAAAGTTAATTTAAACCTATGAACAACCTTACAGTAGAAGTAGTGAAACCAGTCATTCCTAGTTCAACCACTTTAATTTTATTCATTACTTTCCATCTAAGGATTTTTATGTAGTATTGAAAACTACGCCATTTGCACTCAATGATACAATAATTATAATAATATTTTAATGATGAGAATAATAATGATAATAATAAACATCATAATAATAATAATAATAATAATAATAATGATAATAAAAATAATAATAAGGATTTAAAGAGTTTGTTTATGATAAAAAAGATCGATTATAGAAGATGTGTAAATTAATCAACTTATGTTATTAATATTTTGAGTCTGTGTTTACAGATTGTATGTCTGCCTGGTTTATGTTATTAATGTTTTGAGTCTATGTTTACAGATTGTATGTCTGCCTGGTTTATGTTATTAATGTTGTGAGTCTGTGTTTACAGATTGTATGTCTGCCTGGTTTATGTTATTAATGTTGTGAGTGTGTGTTTACAGATTGTATGTCTGCCTGGTTTATGTTATTAATGTTGTGAGTCTGTGTTTACAGATTGTATGTCTGCCTGGTTTATGTTATTAANCATCATTAATATTACCCCCCCCCTCCCACCTGCCCCAACCCACCTTCAACACCTTACTTCCTAATTATATGTTTTTAAATTTTCCCAAGTATTTTCCAAAATTCCGTACTTTTTTATTTTATTAAAAGGATTTAAAGCAAATAGTAACTTATCTTAGTAATCAGATCCATTTCATCAAAAAAAAGTATACTTTTAATTTAGAAAATATTCTTGACAAATGATAAAAGAGGGTATAGGCTTGAACCAATATTATAATAGAACTTATATATCTATCAGATGTATTTGCACAGATAATAAGAACTGAGCTGGGAACTTTAGAATGGTGGATATCGAGATTAATACGTGATCATCACTTTTCTCAATATCGAGACTAATCTAATCTTGTGCTTGTATCCTGAAAAGTGTATAAAATTCAACCAATCAGAGTCGCGTATATGAAGCCGATAAATTTTAAATTTTGCGCGCCATTTAAGATTAATATACAGAAGAACTCTCTAATTTAGAAAACCCGGTTTTTGATTTTTCTCTACTATATCCAAGAAAGAACGGTTTAAGAAGAAAATCAAAAGTGTGTCCATTGGATACTCAGATTAAGTAATCGGGATTAAGGATATCTCATTCTAAAGTTGCCAGCTCTGGCCTTATAAATTACAATCGATTCATAATTTTATTGATCTTTTAAGAAACTTGATACGTAATTCGAAGTGTGCACCATCGATTAAAAAGTTGCATCCCCTATTCAAAACGGAACCCACTGGAAAAGGTTTAAATTATGGCAATTTCCTTCTTTACCTCTCCTCGCGTGACTTTTATTAAGAGACCAAAAAAAGAAAATATTAATTTTGAAATAAAAAACTTGGATAGATATCTTGATAATTTTTGTTGAGACGAAAGTTTGATATATGGAGGATCACTTCTAATTAAGTTTATAATCCCTTTAAAGCATGACTTTGAAAAACATAGTGAAAGACTTAAAAATGCATAAAACGCCCTTCAGTATGTCAATATGTGTCGGTTGGAATTTATAACAAACCCCCACCCTTCCGCACCCCTTCCCNCCCATTCCACCTGACAATTAGATGCATGGGACACGGTTTAGAATAAATATATCTCAGATTTGAGATACTCTTGCAAAGATTCTCAAAATTGTCTAAAATTGGTTTCTAAAAAATTTTTTCGGTTTAATTTCCAGGATTTTTTAGAAGATGGAGTTTTTAGATACAATAATTTGAAATATCTTCACGGTGTGATTTTTTATATTTTTAACTTGACGGAGGAACTAAATGAATTTAAGGAAACATATTTTTGTAGTTCTTTATTCATGTTTTTTAACCCTTAAAGGGACTGTTAACTTGATTGCAAGTGATTTCCCAATAACAGAGGTGGATGGCCAACATTTATTCATAATTGTACTCTTTACATTTTTATCTAAAGAACAATAAGGAAGATCTCGTTTTTCTATCATTTTTACTTGGTCAAAGGTTTCGATCATAGAGTAATAAAACGAAGCTACCTACCTCCTTAGAAATACGATCACTCTCTATACAAGTGTACAGTGTTAGATACGTAAACATATCGTGATGTATACAACCGACCACTCTATTTTTTAATTAATAAGGAGGTTGGTTGTGTACACCTGAGCTAAGTTTCACCTCTTCGTTTTATTACTCTATGGTTTCGATGGTATCATTGTAAATCAACCAAATTCTATCAGTGAAGGGTCAGTTGATATAATGTGAGGAGTCCCTTTAATTTGTAATTTACAATAATATACTTTTCACTTTTTTGGAACCATCCGGGTAAAGATAATACTTACAGATAGTTACAGATAATATTTATATCAAATTGTTTTCATAAATCTACATTAGAAGAAAAATGTCTAAATTGAGAAAAATGTGTATCTTTCGGATTCTTTTATCCTTATTGTACTGTTTAATTTTAAGTTATTTCGGGGCATCATTAAAATACATTTTTCACATGGTCTAAAAAAGAAAATTACAAGATTGGTAAACCCCCCCCCCCTACCCATCCCCTCGATGAATTTAGAAGAAAAATGAATCAGTTGAAAAAAAATGTATACCTTTTAAATTGCATTTTCCACGACTGTTTTATTTTCAGTTAATTGCCGGGGCATTAAAATACATGTTTGACATGTTTCCAACTACTAACCCCCTCTGTAGTTAATCTACGAACTATTTCTTCTTCATCCATCAATATTTGGCGCGAAGAACCAAACATTTCAAATTTGAATTATGCGCGGTTTATTATCCTATCAGGGATCTAGCAACCGAATACTAATATATACAACAGAGAGGTCGGAATTAATGAATTGCTAGAAGTAGTTGAACTCAGGGGCGGATACAGGGGGGTGGCGGGGGACATTCGCCACCCCCTGGCAGATTCAGGGAGGGGCGTAGCCCCTCCCTGAGATTTCGAGGCAAAAAATGTTCCCAATTTTATAAATATAATACTGTGTCCGACCTAACTTAAATCCCTGTCCTAATCCAATATTTTTGTTCCTAATTCCTAAACAATCTTTTTATTGTTCCTAAATCCCTGTCCTAATCCATTATTTTTGTTCCTTATTCCTGAACAATCTTTTTATTGTTCCTAAATCCCTGTCCGAATCCTTTAATGTTGTTCCAAATTCCTGAACAATCTTATAATTGTTCCTAAATTCCTGTCCTAATCATTTATTTTTGTTCCTAATTCCTGAACAATCTTTAAATTGTTCCTAAATTCCTGTTCTAATCCGTTAATTTTGTTCCATAAAGTTAAAAATCTAGTCTTTAGTCATTAATTTTGACTCTTTTTGAGTCTTTTAAGTAAAAAAAAAAATTTCGCCTGCGGCACGATTTTTTGTTCCTAATTATTAATTTTTTCTTCCTAAAAAATCTTGCCCCCCCCCTCACTTAAATCCTGTATCCGCCCCTGGTTGAACTAAGTATGTACAGTTTAACAACTTACTTGTAGTCAAACGATCCGTATCTAATTTAACTACTGTTTAATATTTATTAACTGCGACCACAGAATAAGATTTACTCCATAAAGAGGCATCTACAGCGTCGAAGGTTTAACCGTCCAAAGTTTCACCCGAGGACTCTACTGCTTAATTTACTGTTCAAAAGTATATTGACTTGAAGAATTTAGATACAGATTCAAGTGTAGAACTTAAGTGATATATGTGCACTGTGCACTTTGAAATATAACATAGTTTAAGTTCTTTCACTTTTTGGATCTTCTTCCCTGTAGTTACATATATTCTTTGATATAGATAGTTAGTTAGATAGTTAGATAGATAGTTAGATGTATAGTTAGTTAGATAGATAGATAGATAGATAGATAGATAGATAGATAGATAGATAGATAGATAGATAGATAGATAGATACTTAGATAGTTAGATAGATAGTTAGATGTATAGATAGATAGATANATCTATCTATCTATCTATCTATCTATCTATCTATCTATCTATCTATCTATCTATCTATCTATCTATCTATCTATCTATCTATCTATCTATCTATCTATCTATCTATCTATCTATCTATCTATCTATCTATCTATCTATCTATCTATCTATCTATCTATCTATCTATCTATCTATCTATCTATCTATCTATCTATCTATCTATCTATCTATCTATCTATCTATCTATCTATCTATCTATCTATCTATCTATCTATCTATCTATCTATCTATCTATCTATCTATCTATCTATCTATCTATCTATCTATCTATCTATCTATCTATCTATCTATCTATCTATCTATCTATCTATCTATCTATCTATCTATCTATCTATCTATCTATCTATCTATCTATCTATCTATCTATCTATCTATCTATCTATCTATCTATCTATCTATCTATCTATCTATCTATCTATCTATCTATCTATCTATCTATCTATCTATCTATCTATCTATCTATCTATCTATCTATCTATCTATCTATCTATCTATCTATCTATCTATCTATCTATCTATCTATCTATCTATCTATCTATCTATCTATCTATCTATCTATCTATCTATCTATCTATATATCTATCTATCTATCTATCTATCTATCTATCAATATATCTATATATCTATCTATTTATCTATCTATCTATCTATCTATCTATCTAAATATCTATTTTTAAACTTATTCTCAGCTAATTAAAAACTTTTCTCTGAAAAATTCTCTAACTCATCCATCATTCTTGGCAGGATTTATTTTTTACGATCTGAAAATGTAAAAATATGTTTAAAGCATGATAAGTCAGGGAAAATTATGTAAATTTCTTGAACTTCCTGTAGATTGAAGGATTATGAGTTCGAGATCATCAGTTCAAGAACGTTTAAAAATATCTCAGATTAATGAAGGTTAAAGAAAATGTGAACTATCTAATCTTCAGAACGATTGTGTGTTGTATTCTAAACAATAAACATTATATTAAACAGAAACTGTTCTCTCTAAACAATAAACATCACATTAAACAGAAACTGTTCTCTCTAAACAATAAACCTCACATAAAACAGAAACTGTTCTCTCTAAACATTAAACCTCACATTAAACAGAATGTGTTCTCTCTAAACAATAAACCTCATATTAAACAGAAACTGTTCTCTCTAAACAATAAACCTCACATTAAACAGAGGAACTGTTCTCTCTAAACAATAAACCACACATTAAATCTAAACTGTTCTCTCTAAACAATAAACCTCACATTAAACAGAAACTGTTCTCTCTAAACAATAAACCTCACATTAAACAGAAACTGTTCTCTCTAAACAATAAACCTCACATTAAACAGAAACTGTTCTCTCTAAACAATAAACCTCACATTAAACAGAAACTGTTCTCTCTAAACAATAAACCTCACATTAAACAGAAACTGTTCTCTCTAAACAATAAACCTCACATTAAACAGAAACTGTTCTCCCTAAAAAGAAGTAAAGTATATATTTACAACCAAATGTTGTAAACCTTTGATTTTTCAAACTTTGATTATTTAATCTAACATAATTCGTAATTTGATAATGGGTTGAATTTGGCGTTAATGTTGGTCTAAACCACAATGAAGTTCAGCCCACATTTTTTAGAAAAAAAATATTTAGGGTTTGTCCTTTTCAGTTTTAACGATAAATAACCGTCAAAATAAAAAACTAAATTTCTAACAGCTAGAATTTCCTGACAAAATCTAACATTATATACTTCAATTCAGTTTTTATGACTAGAGTTTATGTGATTTAAAGCTTTTTTTCTGTTTTGGAATGATAGGTGTCATTCTCTTTAGACCAATTTGACAAATATTCTTTTTTAAATAATATTTGTTTGTGTTCACTAACAATTATTTCTATTTAGATCGGATGAGGAAAATGATGATGAAGGGGTCAAATTCACCTCCCTCGGCGACAATTCTGGGTCAGCCCAGTTTGTACCTGTCCGGGAAACCCCTAAGTATCTCGTGACTCCACCCTCCTTCCATACCACGCCCCCCGCCATAGAGTTCATACCAACCAGGGACCCGGAGCTGGATAATGGTTCCCAACCTGGAAAATTTAAGATATCAATCCAAAATGTGGATTTTCGTCCAACCCCACCCCCACAAAAGCCACAAACAACAACAACGGCTGCAACTACAACCACAACAACCGCAACAACAACGACAAACCGACGAACCACCACACATAGAACAACTCGTCCACAGGACATCGTTGATATTTACAACCAGGTGAACCGTGAGAAGGATGAGGAGAGGGGGTTCAACACGTTTGAGGAGGATGAGATCTCGAACGAGATTATCACAACAGGATCAGTCGGCCGGTCAAATCAGCAGGTAGGATACTAAACCATATCCGGTCAAACCACTAGGTAGGATACTAAACTATATCCGGTCAAACCACCAGGTAGGTACTAAACTATATCCGGTCAAACCACAAGGTAGGATACTAAACTATATCTGGTCAAACCACCAGGTAGGATACTAAACTATATCCGGTCAAACCACCAGGTAGGATATTAAACTATATCTGGTCAAACCACCAGGTAGGATACTAAACTATATCCGGTCAAACCACCAGGTAGGATACTAAACTATATCCGGTCAAACCACCGGGTAGGATACTAAGCTAAATCCGGTCAAACCACCTGGTAATTAAAAAAAATGTTTTTTGCTTTATTTAAATCTGACAGATTTTTGTTTCCGCTATCGTTCAGATTTGTTAAAATTTTATTCTTTATTTTACTCTGCAATAAACTTTCTTTTTTAACCAGAAACCCCCCCCCACCCCGCGGTATTTTGGTTTGTATATAAGAAAACTTTTAAAATAGATATCTTGTTTCAAAAGGTTTTGTAAAAAAATTGATCTTTTTTTTGTTTAGATCGCATCTACCTCTATCTATGATCCAAGACCCAGAACTAGAACTTTTACTAAAAACTTCCCTCGAAACATGGGAACTAAATCTAAACCCAAACCAAGAACTAAATATGATTCAAAATACAAGAATTTTAATCTTCCGATCCGAGGAGCAAAGTATACCAGGGAGAAGAAGGAGAAGAGGAAAGAAGAAGAGAAGAGGAAGGAAGAAGAAGAGGAGAAGGAAAAGGAAGAGGAATTAAGAGAACACAAGATCAAGGCGGAGAGAAGAAAGGTTAAAAGCGGAAGAAGTTTTGAATCTACGGTTCCTGGGTTCACGGAGCTAGAGAATGATTTCTCTACCTCTAAGAGAGAAGAGAAGAAAGGAAGATATACTCTAGGAGTATCCTATCGTCCATCCAACCCTCTTCCTCCCATCCTTCAACCCATACCTCCTCAACCTATTTTTCTTAATGTCAAAACTGTTAAAACTCCTTTAGAATTCCCTCCTACTCCTACTCATCCACCTCCTACCCCCTTCCCCTCCCACACCCCCTCCAAGTTTTCTCGTCCTTCTCCTCTCAAGCTAAACCAGAGAGTCCTGTAGGATTACCTCTAATTCACCATGCTGCTGCCCATCCTCCCCCTCCTGCTTCTCCTCATCACGCTCCTCTTCCTCATCATCCTCCTCCTTCTCCTCATCATGCCCCTCCTCCTCCTCCTCTCCATGGAGTTCCTGTCCCGTCCATGCTACCCTCCCATCCTGGAGATTATGATGATTATGAAGAATCCTACAAGGTGACATATTTATCATCCATCAACTAATTATATATCTTTATTATTCACGACTATAGTGAAGGGGTAAGTTTAGATAAGGGATTAAAGGGACTGTAGGCAGAATTTCAAGTGACCCTCCATACAAAGATTGTAATTCCCGATTCACAACGATACCCTTAAACCCTTCAGGCTGATAAAGCTTTTAAGGGTACAGTTGAGAACAGAACATGGTCATTTTTGCCATCATTTGAATGTTGTCATTAGAAAAAAGTCTATCTCATTAAAAGTTGATTTTTTTCTTTTAAAGGGACTGTAAGCGTAATTTTAAATAAGTATGCAAAGATGGCAATGCCCAATTTACATAGGTGCCCTTAAAAACTTTGTCTGATCAAGTATGAATCAGATATCAATGTTTTTGTTCCTCTAAACGGGTTTTTTATTTGCGGTTTCTCTACGAAAGTGACTTAATTTCTTGTTTATTAGAAGCAAGCAATGAAGAAACTCATGGAATAAACACTTTTCGAGTCAGAAAAACGACGATATCTTCCATTTTCTTGATCAGATTAAGGTTTCAAGGATACCTTTGTAAATCGTGCATTGACATGTTTGCATGAAGGTTCACTTAAAATTGCGCGTACAGTCCCTTTATGATACTTATTAAGAAATGCATAATCTTATATACAGAATCGTTGGTTCATTTACCTTGCATTTTATGTTCATATGTGCAATGCATTATGCATATAAAACATTTTTATAATGTACATAAAAATTAAATGCGATGTCTAAAGTTGTAGGTTACAGTGCACATTTTCTAGCAGATACAGATACAGATACATTTTCTAGCAGATACTGATACAGATACAGATACATTTTATAGTAGATGCTGATGCCGATACAGATCTGATACATTTTCTTGCAGATACAGATAAAGATACAGATACAGATACATTTTCTAGCGGATACAGATACAGATACAGATACAGATACAATTTCTAGCAGATACAGATACAGATACAGATAAAGATACAGATACAGATACATTTTCTACCAGATAAAGATACAGATACAGATACATTTTCTAGCAGATACAGATACAGATAAAGATACAGATACAGATACATTTTCTAGCAGATACAGATACAGATACAGATACAGATACATTTTCTAGCAGATATAGATACATATACAGATAAATATACAGATACAGGTACATTTTCTACCAGATATAGATACAGATACAGACACAGATACAGATACATTTTCTAGCAGATATAGATACAGATACAGATACAGATACAAATACATATAATGATACAGATACAGATACAGATACAAATACAAATACAGATACAGATACAGATACAAAAAAGATTTTTCACGTGAATTAAAAAGAACATTAACATGCACACCAGTACCTGCTATGCATATTAAGATATAAATGATATATCTGCAGACAAAGGTTGTCATGAAATCCAAAATATATTAAAAATATTAATAAAAGTGAACTCTTTCACTACTTTTGCATTCACCATTTTTATCATTTCATAAAACTTGTCAATTGTTTCTTCCAAATTATTTTGATACTTTTATGGTTGATGTTTTATCTCTGGAACACACTGTACAATTTACTGCATTTATATATACATATACATATATCAATATATATATACATATATATATACGTACATTATTATATATACATGAAGTATTGGGAAAACAGCCCCCACCGTGTGTTGCATACATATTTTACCAAATTAGTAATTTAGCATTCAACATTCACCAAACCAAACCCATATGCATAGTATTTATAAATATATACAATGTAAACACAGAAACATAAACATAAACTTCAACAAGGATAGCACAGGAAACATTTTTATAGACAAACAAATAGACATTTAGTGGATAGATATACAGATATCCAACCATACAGACAGATAGGTATACTGGGAGATAACAATCATACAGACAGATAGATATACAGATATTCAACCATACAGACAGATAGGTATACTGGGAGATAACAATCATACAGACAGATAGATATACAGATATCCAACCATACAGACAGATAGATATACTGGGAGATAACAATCATACAGACAGATAGACAAATAGACAATTAGATATACGTATAAACAGATAAATGTATATAGACAGGTAGACAGAAATCTATAAAGACAGGTAGACAGATAGATAGACAGGTAGACAGATAGATAGAAAGGTAGACAGATATAAAGATAGGGAGACAGATAGATAGACAGGTAGACAGATAGATAGACAGGGAGACAGATAGATAGACAGGTAGACAGATAGATAGAAAGGTAGACAGATAGATAGACAGGTAGACAGATAGATAGACAGTTAAACCGACTGATATTCATTTAAGAAGACAGATAAACAGATACACAGACAGATAAACAGACGGATATACAGATGAACAGACAAACATTAAGAAACGAACAGACGAACAGAGTTGCATGAAAACAAGAGTCTATTATGATAATGAGAATGCAGAAGGAATTGCAATTTGTAAAGGTACACTGCATGGGTATTAGGGTACACTGGAAATTGTAGAGGTACATTTAGGGTACGCTGAAAATTTTAAAAAGGCATTTAGGGTACACTGAAAATTGTTTAGGGGTATTAAGGATAAATTTAAAAGGGTATAAATGTATTAGGGTACACCGTACACTGAAAATGGAAGTATACATCAAAATTTTAAAGATCGGTTTTTTTAATCAAATCTTTTTCTTATGTATAGGATTTGAGTAAAAAAACATTTTGATGTAAAGATGGAAGGTGTTATGCCAATAATAATATTATTAATAAGTATATGCAGGGAATCCAGCTTTGCCTGAAACCGGATTTTCTTTATAAAACTCAAACCACTTAACTTAAAAATATTTTAAAAACCAAGCTAGGAATATTCCTGAGGTTCTACCAAGTTTCTCAACTAAAATTTAAGGCCAATCGGTCAAAAGTTTCTGAGTTATGATCGACCATACCAGTAAACAAACAGAGATTACTACTTTATATTTATTTAAACATTCTTGTTTGTTTGTATTCAGAGATACGATCTGAAAAAAATTAAGTTTCAAGATTGGCCATTGTTAAATAGACACAAGTATAAATAAATGATGAATCCCTTTAATTAAAAGCCCAGTCCTGAATTCAAGAATTTAAGGTTAAATCCCGCAGAGTGTAGAGTTTAACATAATACCCATGTAATACCCAGTAGTAGCCAACTAGGTCAGGGATGGGCGAATACTAACCTTTTTTCCAAATAGTGCTTAAATAATATTTTATTAAAACAGAAGATCTGGAGTAATTTTTGAATCGCTGCTTTTCGAAGAAATTTTTTTTTGTTTTTTTACTTTTAGTTTCGCTGTTCTTTGTTTGTAGCGACAACATTTATAATTTTCATGGATGGATAGTTTTAGTTTCTGATATCTAGGTACCCAGCCCTACATATGCCCACCCAGTAGGCACTAGACTCATTATCATACTTTTACATTTTTTGGAATCCTTGAAATATATCCATACAATACAGAATACAGGAGATTTAAAGAGACTGTTTACAGATTTCACGTGGTTCTTACGTTCTTAAATTACAGAGATACTTAACATTAAATAAAATAACAAATAGCATTTCTTAAATATTGAAATAGGTAGTGTTAGTGTACAAATTAATGAAATAATTGTTTATTTTTCTAGGGTGGTGGGGAGGGGGGGGGGGGGAGTCAGAGGTTGGAGAGAGGAGGGTGTTCTATTTCTTAAATATGAAGAATTGGTGATGGCAATGACCATTACAAAAAGAATTTTTAACGTTTTTCAGGATAATCTTTTATAATCCGTCATACGTTGTTCAAAACATACAATTATCTCAACAAATCTTTTTCAATTATTTCTAAAACGCCTATTTTAATACTTACTGAAAGCTTTGTTTCACAAAATATCTTTTTTTAAATATTCGGAGAAGTATTTTTCAAACATCAGTATAGGGTACTATTTTTTATTTCAGTAACAACCTTTATTAATAATTATACAGAACAAGGTTATAATGCAAGGAAAGTTATTTCAGAGGTGTACACATCTTTTGAACTGCAGTGTGCTGTCTCTGGGCGGTAATATAAACACAAGACGGATGTCGAAGTCTGACATGGGATCCATCTTTCACATAAAAAATCAATGACATATTCTGGTCATTGGAAACTATTATGTGAATTATCAAAATTATCAAAACTTAATGCTTTTAACCTCCTCGGATATTAAACGAACACTGATGCATCTATTCTTTTTTACAAATTCCGCCCAGAGAGAACTGGTTTCAATATGTACGCAAAGTATGGGCAACTGCAGTTAACTTTCCTTGCAGTATAACCTTAATACAGAATAGCTTATTAATATTCAAAATAGCGGCATTATGCATGAAATTCTATTAAACCCTGATCTTGTTTATGTGTATAAATTGTATATATGTACTGCATACAATGTAAACAATGTATACAACAACGTATACAATGGACTATAAAACGTCTGAACTCTTCAATTGAAATTCACTCTGAGACTTATCTGAAGATGCGCTTGAAAACTTCAGGCATTGATGAGAGGTTGGGTGATTTTCTCATCACATTTCCCGCCATTTTCCGAAACGTTTTCGAAGATTTCAACAAGAAATGTTGGAAAAATCATTTTATTTAAAATAAAGTTGAATGAATTATTTACAGTATTACATAAATCAAGCTGAAATTAAATGGATCTCTAATGTTGAATGTAAAGACTATATTGACTTCCTAAAATCCCAAGATAATGGAGTTATAATAAACCAGAACCGGAAGTGAAAATATAAACAACGACGTACCCTACACATCCGGAAATTATTTTAAAGATCTTTCAAAATTAAGAATTGAACTATTTCTTACTTTCATACAATTAAATTTTTTAAAGATTTTACCCCAAAAAGTTTATTCTATTCCATCTTAGATTTTTAATCTTAAAGCTTTTTTACTTATTTTTTTTTTCTGGTGAAACATTTTTACTCCAGCTGTTCTTTTGTGTGTTTATTCAATATTGGGGATAGTCTATCTGAACCAAAAATAAATTTTTAATAAGAAAATATACTTTTAAAAAAAAATATATATTAATTTTTATTATGTATTTTAGCCGAAACCTTACTCTTTCAACTATGGAGTGAAGGATGAGTACTCTGGAGTCGAATATAACAGGTAAAGTTTTTAAAAATTAATTTTGAAACTTGAAACTTATAATTTTAACTCTCACAAGCCCCCAAATGTTGGTTAAAATAAATTTCCCTAAGGTTCTGAGAACCTTAGAGTAGTTCTAAGTGATCCCTTCTAGATATCTCATCCATAGTTTAAAAAAAGAAATAAAAACGTTGTTATTATTAATTTAAGAATCTTTTTCTTTTCACACATTGCCATCAGACCATCTTAAATTGTTTTTTTTTCAACTGTCATGTCTAGTGGGTCACTCTCCGACCTCCATTACGGATTTTGGCAAACTTTAAAATTAAATTAAAGTCTATTTTCTAATTTTTGTGAGATAATTGGAGGGAATTATTTTCTGGTCAGATAAAATAAAACTATAGAACCCAAAGGATGATAATTTAAAACAACATACAGTTTAACAATTAGAAATATCAAAAAAGATGAAACTTTATTTTTTTCCAAAAAATTTCAAAATGGCGCCTAAAATAAGACGACATTTATAAATAGAGCTGAGTCACGTGGAGACCATGGAGTGACACGAGGAGAATACACGGTAGCTCTTCCAGATGGTCGTCTTCAGCTTGTCAGCTACTTTGGTATTTTTGAATTTGATATTAATATATTATTATAAAAATATGTTCAGTAACAATAATAATAATAATGAAAATAATAATAATAATAATAATAATAATAATAATAATAATAAAAATATTGTTCCAGCTGATGAGGATGGATTCCATGCTACTGTAACCTACGAGGGTGAGCCTAGTTATCCAACCCACGAGGAGTACTCCAGGTCTCCTAAATCATACAGGGAGTCAAATAGAGTAGAGGATACAAATACAGTGTTCGCTAAACCTACACCACAACCTGCTCCCTACTCCCCCACTCCTGCTGCCTATTCCCCTACTCCTACTCCATACTCCCCCACTCCTGCTCCCTATTCTCCTACTCCTGCTCCTTATTCCCCCACTCCTGCACCTTATTCTCCTTCCCCTGTACCTTATTCCCCAACTTCGGCTCCCTATTCTCCAAGCCCTGCTCCTATAAAATATTCACCTACTCCTGCTCCCTATTCCCCAACCCCTGCTCCCTATTCACCCACTCCTGCTCCCTATTCTCCAACCCCTGCTCCCTATTCTCCAACCCCTGCTCCCTATTCACCAGCCCCTACTCCCTACTCTCCTATCCCGGCCTCCTATTCTCTCTCCAATTAAGTACTCACCCATCCCTGCCTACTCTCCCCAGCCCATCTACTCCCCCACTCCCACCCCTGCTGACTACACCCCTACTCCCTATCATGGATCTCCTACTCCTCTACCCTACGGTCCCTCTGCTAGAACCTATGATGGTTCTCCTCTTCTCCTAGGGTTAAAATCTCCTCATCAAACCCTAAACTCTCTACCCAGCTACTCATACGAACCCTCCGAGGTGTCGGTTAAATCTCTCTCCCTGAATGGATATCAGGGTGGGTATATACCTCCTACTACCTGGAAACCCAAATATCCCAAGATACTGGAACACACTCTTCGCTCCCAGCCTCTTTACTCCTCCAGGCTGAAGAAGGATGTGGAGGATGAATATGATTACGAGTACTATGAGTAATGTCCATTATAGAACTGTTCCATGATCTAAATACATAACTCATGTCCCCAGTCCCCACCCTTCATTCCTTTCCGAACAAAATTTTTCAAATAATGTTAAAAAAATGTCTTTCTTTTTTTGTGAAATGTTTTTTTTTCTCACTTTTATGCACAGTCATGGACTTCGACACCCCTCCTCATAAAAATCCAGACATGGAAGGATTTAAAGCTTTAAAAAGGCATACATCACTATTTGTTACAAAAAGAAATAATTTCTTTTTTCTTGTGAGAATTGCCGGTCTATCCTGATCTTAAACTGTTTGCCATAAATTATGTATATTTATAATTGTTAAGTACTGTACTGTACTTTACTGTACTTTAATGTACTGTACTGTACTGTACTGTACTGTACTGTGCAGGTACACACGTTAATGTGATTTAAAAGCTAACTGAATGCAGATGTACGATTTATATATACGATATATATATGCACGTTATTCACACATGGTTGTAATTCATATGAAAAGAGAACATTTAGGATATCTGCATTTAGGGTGTACCTTAAAAATATTATATTAAAAATAAGCCAGTATTTCCTATTTTTCTTTAGTTCCTTGAAATGGTCAATTTCCTATTTTTTCTTGGAGAATGGAGATTGCAGTGACCAAACTGACCATGTCGGGAAAAAAATGAAAAATTCAGCCAATTTCCATTTTAAGGACAAACCCAAACCTACCTAAGTGTAGCAGTTTGCTAACTCCTCTTAATGGATTTTTTAGAGACATAAAAAAAAGGTTGCATTTTGTTTTAATTTTTTACTTTTTGGACACTCAAATGTACATAAGAGTAGAGTATGTAAATACATGTACGTTTGTTGTACTATCTCACCCATTAATAACTCTTCAGGTCTTTCAAAAAAAAAAACTTTAAGGGATTCTAAGCTTATTTTCCAGTGACCCTCCAGGATCGTAATGATTACAACGGTACCCTTAGAAGCTTAGTTTTATAACTTGAATTAGAAATAGATGTTTTTGTTTTTGAAAACCGTTTATTTTGATTTGTGGTTTCTCAGTTCTCTGAGCATGCTTCTAGAAACAATGGAGAACTCACTTTTCGAGGGAGAAAAACGACGTTATCTTCAAGATTTTTTATCAGACTAAGGTTTCAAGGCTAACGTTGTCAATCTAACATTTTTCTATCTTTGCATAGAGGGTCACTAAACTTACACTTACAGTCTCTTTCACCTAAAATATTTCTTAAACATTTCGTTGTTAAACTTTCTTTCTTTCTTTCATCTCTTATTTTGGCATGAAACCGCGTTTCCTGAATATGTTATAATGTTGATAGATGTTCTCTCTCTCTATTTATTAGTTTAAATATATTTTATTTATTTTGTAGAATTATTTTGTACGCTGTCCAGTCGAAATTTATTAAGAAAACCGTTCTCCGGAAAACTGTATGAATGAAAGAAAATTTCTTAATCTACCTTGTCTGTTCATATTTAATAAAACGTCCAAACGGGCTCCAACCGACCCGGCTCTTTTTGTTTGATAACTTTTGAAACCAAAGGAAATGTTTATGATCGGCAAAAAAATTGTTGACTTAAAATATGTTTAAGTTATCATGTTATCCCCTCTACATAAAGATCCAGTTTCTAGGCTTGCCTCGAAATTGTTATAAACTTTGCTATCTTGTCAATTGCAAATAAACGTAATTTTACTGCCAAGAAGGTATTCAGGATAATCTAGGGGGAGTGGGATGTTTTTTAAATACTATACTTAAAAAAGCTAAAGCTCATAATAGGGGAAAAACTTATTAACGATTATCTTCATTTAAATTATTCTACAATTTTTTATGCTTTTTCTCTGAAATTTTATGTCAAAGACTCCAAAGACACTTTCTAGAAAATCCGTAGATTCAAGATGATCCGAAAAGTTGGTTATTTTAAAATATAAACCAAAAAAGTTCAACACTTGCCGCCACAGAATCTAATCCCTTTATCGTTGGAACTTGGTATTTCAAACTTTGACCATTAGTTCAAGCAGAACACATATAAAAACGACATTAGATTGCTATGATACAGAAATTAGAAAATTCAAGTTTGAGACATGTTATGGATTCCTTGAAACTATGATTTACCGAAGTCAAGAAATTAAACTAAACCTTCATATATTTCCGTTAAATTATCTATTGAAGGTGTGCAGGGTTGCCCACAAAGCTGGATGCAAAATGATCTTTATATTAACCTTGGCGTTATTCTTGAAAACCTCTCATCGTTTTTGGGTAATCATGTATTTTAGAATTGTAGTGTCTGTAAATTAGCTTTTTATTAAATTATGCAAAGACAGAGATTGGACAAATTATACAAAGACTGCCAGACATTAACCGTTTCAAAACTTTTCCTAGTCTCTGGATTCTGGAATCCCCCAAAAAATCGAATGTTAAAAATAAATATCAAATAGGAAACCCAACACCACCCATACCAATTTTATTACTTACTTTTGATGGAACATTTTGGAACAAAACTAACATAATGTAAAAAATACATAAAAATTGTTACCTTCTTTTTAAAACAATTTCAAGCAAAGCAGGAAGGTAATACAAATTATTGTTAGTGCATATTAATAGTCGTGTTCGCTTTCTGGAGATTAGAGCATACAAATTTGTAATTAGTATAGAAAATAAGCCCAATTTGAAATACTTTCCCCTGCATTTTTTGCTTTTACTAAAATTTTAATGTTTTCTAAATTATATGAATTTCAGAAGTGTGTGGCTTTTAATAGAATTAGTAGACAACTTACATTTAATGTCAATCTCATTTCATTTAAACCATCTGAAACTAGGTATAACATCCATCTAGAATAAGAAAGCACTTTTTGATGAATTTAATATTTATTTCTGTGATATTTAGAAATATGAACGTACAGATTGTTTTTAGCATTAAACTCTTTGCTGCAGTACCTACACGTGTGAACAAAACTGTTGGGAAAATGAATGTTTTCAATGTGTTTCATCAGATTCCCTTTCTGAAGCGCAGTTTTCTTGCATAAACTACATTCATAACAGTTGATTGATTGATTAAACACCGCGTAGTCCCTCAGTGAGCTCTGATCCGAGGCACTGAATCCTGAAATTAGTTTATAATATTCACAAAATTTAAAATTACGAAATGTTAACTATTGCACAACATAAAATGAAACTGAAGTTTTTATAAATAAAATGGCAGCCTATGTAATCAATGCATCTGAGCTGTCTCGGAAAAATCTGGTTTCCTTGATCTATGAGAATAGGAAACATGTTGGTATAACAGATTTTTCTTATTAAACTCTGCTCCACAATACCGACACAGATGAACAAAACTATTCGGGAAATGAATATTTTCAATGTGTTTCATCAAGTTTCCTTTCTGGAGACACGCTTTCTCACAGAGATCACAATGATAATTCTTGGTCGCATGGTTGTAGCTAATATGCTTTTTAAGATCGTCAGGGTCTCGAATTCCTGCAAAATATGAGAATAGTTCAAGAAAAAATGTATTATTAAGATCTTAATACAGGAAAACAAATATGTTTACTATATATATACACCAGAACAAAAATAATGGCACTTAGAATATTTGTGAATGCATATATGAAGAGTAAACTCAATTTACAAAATACTGTTTAGAAGTCTTTTCACTTAGGATCATTTCTTCAAATTTCTATGGTTTGTAGAAATATGAACTTGCAAACTATTGTAATTGTTTGCCTTTTTCCCACAAACGTAACATTCGTACTCAAACAAGTTCGGAAAATGAACACTTTCAACATGATTCATTGAGTTCCCACGTTGGGAGTTTTGTTTTCCACAAATAGTGCAGGAAAAACCAACGTTCGTTCTTTGGAGATAATTAAGGAGAAGTTTTCTATCCGGACATCCTTTCCTCTCCTCGCCATTTCCTTCCTCGGACCCTGCAACACAACATAGCAAGATGAGGTCAATAGTTGGACAAGAATTTACGATCTTTATGATAGACGGACAGATGAACGTAAAGCGCATTCTTAGTGTTCATGGATTTCCCGCAAAATTTGCATTTGTATTCGAACATATTTGGGAAATGAACGCTTTCAACATGGTTTAAGATATTGTTCTTCTGTTGGTTGGTTTTCCCGCACAGCGAGCAGGCGAACTTGAGCACACCACCGTCTTTAACTTCCGTTATATGTCCAAGCAGGGAGCGCCGGTCAGAACCTGGAAATCATAGAAAATCAGTCAAAGTTTAAAAAAAAAACTTATTTGTCGAAAGCAAACTAAAAAGATTTAATCTACGCAAATTCACATATTTTTATTTCTATTCTTATGTCTTGAAATATGAACATTATACGCATTTCGAGAATTATAACTTTTAGAACACATGCTACACTGGTAGTTAAAGAAGGGAAAATGAACGCTCTCTACATGGTTGAGCACGTTGTTCTTTCCACCGGTTCCTTCATGTCCACAGAGCGTGCACACGTGCACATTAGGATTTGAATCTTTGCACATGATATAAGACAACAAGCTCCCGCGCGTCATTCCTGAAAAACAAAAATTATGATTAACTAAAATATATGGTTCATATGATTTTAAACATTTATTATTTGTTGCCTTAAATTTCTTGTTTAACGAAAAATAACACTTTATTAAGATGTTGAAAGAAAACACATATAAATTACTATTACTTATGATATTAGTCTTAGTTTGACAAGAAGTGCGGTGCACGCCCCCCAGACGAGTGGGACTGTGACATATGACAACTTAGCGCGTTTCTTCCTTGGAATGTTTTACCGCATTCCGGGCAGGTGTAGGAGTACTCCCCCTTAAAATGGATTGCTTCAAGATGATACCGAACCTGAAAATAATAAATAACAGTGCAATGCAAAACATTTAAAGATTTTTATGATTTCTGGGAAAGTTTGTAGATTTTAGAGATTGTAGGGAGGATAAAAAATGACAATAAGGCAATAATATGTCCTGCCTTAGCTGGTCTGTTAGTGATGAAACTGCAGAGAAGACAACGGTGTTTCTTCGTCTCCGGGTCGGATAGGATGTACTGGGATAAATCACTGGAGTCCTCTTTACTGCAACCTGCAACACGTATTCAAATATGATTTTTATTAAAAATGAATTTACTTCAACTTCAATACCTCGCAAAATTAATATTTGTTTCTCAACATTGATGTTTATTAGGAAAGGAAAACATCTTCATGTTTACAATAAAACGTTGAACATCATAAGTTATAATATAGATAGCAATTGAATGAAATCGGCTGGGATGAATAAGATTACTTGAATGGAATCAGCATGGAAAATTCTGTTAACTGAATGGAATCAGCTGTTGAATCAGATTATTTGAATGGAATCAGCTGTTGAATCAGATTACTTGAATGGAATCAGCTGGGATGACTACTAGGATGAAACCTGGACATGTGTGTGCTCAATGAATTCCTTCCTGGACAAATTTTACTACATAAACTACACTGTAGGTTGAAGAACCCCTTGAAGTGTACCCCCTCAAGGTGGTAGACCACCTTGGTCTTAATCTTGTTACTGAACCCACAGAGGGAGCAGGTGTACGTTCTATCCTCATTCTTCTTCATGTAATTGCTCAAGTCCTCTCCACTGTATTCAACTAAAATATAGAAATCGGGTTAAATAACAAATATATCGATTATCTCACCAGCAAAAATCTCATATTTTTCAAAACTTAATAACCTTTGAAATTGGATAGTTTATTATTTTAATGAAATCTCTTTGAATGATGTGTGGACCGATGAACGTTCAGAGAGTTCTTCCCGTTAAATGTTTTGTCACAGTCGTCGCAATGATATATAAACATCCCAGGGAAGTGAACCGACTCCAGGTGGTTCTTAAGCTTGGAGGGCCGGGTAGTCAGGAACATACAGAGAGAGCATTGAAACTTCTTGTCCACCTTGATTATATACTGCTCCAGCTCGTCTCTGTTGTCCCCTAAACACATCGAAAGTTTAAAAATATAGAATCATGAAATATTTCATTAGAAAAAACAGTATTAAATCGATTTAGATCTTTATTCATCTTTTATGGAATGTTGATGTGTGAACAGCAAGTGCGTTATTGCTGTTAAAGCTCTTGTTACAACCGCTGCAGTAGTAGGAGAACATGCCGGGAAAATGAATAGATTCTACGTGGTTCCGAACCAGGTTCCGCCGCGTAGAAGTGAAAATATTGCAAAGTTTGCAATAAAATGGTTTCACGCGGTCAGCTGATCTACCCACGTGCTCCAGGAAGCCGTCTAGTCCTAAAGAAAAATATAACTTATCATGAGAAATTAGGGAAACAATAGAAATCTTGGTGAAAAGGGAAACTAATACCGTCATGTTTTATCAATCTCTATATTTTTAACATCTAGTAAAGAAATAACAAATATATAAACAGAAGTAATTTTTGGAATAAACGAGATCACAACAAATCAAGAAAACACGTATATTCTGTGCAGTCATGTCTGTGCAAAGAAATGGATATTTCACGTGATAAAAATCAGTATTTTATCAGTCATTTGTCGACGATGATGAAAAATGTGAAGCTAACTGAACATCTACTATTGTATCATGGATAGTGCTGCCCTAAATCCTCGGTGATTTTTAGACATATGGGAGGCCAAACTGTGCTTTGTCCTGAAAGATTTATCACAGACAGTGCAAACTGGGGCTTGGTTGGAGGCGAAATGATGCGCTTCAAAATGTTGACGCGCATTGCCGCTGTGAGAAGATATTTTGCCGCACAGCATGCATCGGACCTGGCCCTGACCGGCCGGCTCGCTGTAGCTCTTAGCAAGGTTGTTCAAATCCGCAGCATCGCCCATTATAATCTGGTCCGATCCTAAACATGAAACAAAATCTGATCAATTCAGTTCAATTTATCATATTTAAAACAACAAAAAGTGGCACATGATTAAAACAACTAAATGGCACGATATTAAACACAACAAATATTAATAAATATTGAATATTTCATCAAATGATATCTCCTGAAATTCTTAAAAGGCAGCAAATTCATAGTCGAGGATGGGTCAAGCCAGCAGTTCTGTTTGGAGGATGGTTGGTAACCTTGACCTCATGTGTACTCGGTCCTCTGTAGCTAGACTGAAGGACGAGCCCTTTCACCTCGAATCCAAAAATGTTTAACTTGTTGAATTTTGTTGAACTTGAGCACACTGCATTTTTAGCTTCGTATATGTGCTCTATCAGAGTGCACGCTAACAGTGACAATGTGTCCTAAAAACATTTTACTCCAAGGATGCTTGAAAACAAAACAAACAGTTGGCTGTAAAACATACTTCACGAAAAAACACATATTTCAAAAACAGTTGAGAATTTTTTTCTTCAAATATTTCGATTATTACAAAATATTTGAACAATCGTGTTTTTTTTGTATATAGTATAGATAATATCAGATGTACCTAAAACTACTTTTACCGGTAGTTTTAAGTACATTTTATTCAACACAAAAATGAATACATTTTTGAAGAAAGGATTGAACAGAACAAAATAGGGTACATAAATATATCTATCCCTAAAATCCTTCCCCTCCCCTCGTCGCTAAATCAAAACAGTTTGTAAATAATATATTTAGTTATATTCATAGATTAATAATTAAACATGATTATGCTCCATGACAAATTCCTTATGTGGCATATGTTTATAGATGGCTCGATGGTCCTTAGCAAGTTCTAATGGATTTTCTACCCCGGGGTTGAGGGCCCTCAATACACCGTGGTTTTTCACATAAGTCCAAAACACAACCGGACACCGTGTGGCTAAAAAAAGAGAAAATTTCCACTTACTTTTCTAAAATATTTAGATTTTAGAATTTTTCAGAAATGGCAATATAACTTTTTTTTTTAACCTGAACTGTACTTTGTACACTTCCATTGTACAAAGGGGAATCTACGAGCTGTGTTTAGAGTACACGGATTACTGTTGTTTACTAACAGATTTACACTGTTATGTCTAAATAATAAATATAAAAATGAGGTTGACAACATTTTCAATTGATTTATTGATTAAAATTGGATAAAAGTCGAACCTTGATCCTTTCACCAGCTTTAGTTCAAACTCGGAAGAGAAATCAAGATTAAAGTCGTAATCCTTGAAATAAAAAAATCAGAAACTGGAAAAATTTGTCCTTTAGAACTTATGAAATACCTTAGGACTGTCCGGATAGTTGGTCCAGTATCCTAAAATAAGGAAAGTCAGTGGGGAGGTCAGGTCTTTTTAGTTTTTACTTAAAAGTTGAAACATAATCTTCTATTGAACAGAGACCAACAAAAAGCATTTACCACAGCGCACACCTCTTTAGGACAAGGACAAAAATGCAACGCAAAAAAGCAAAAACTGTCAGAATTTGTGAGGGGAAAAATTGTATTTTAATCATTCAGTTGTACAAAGTGTGGAACGTGTAAGAAAGTTTATCAACTTTTTTGTCGATGGATTAATACTACTACTAATAATAATGGATAGGTCTTATATAATACACTAGCCTTAGAGGGCGCTTCGCGCCCATCTTCTAAGTTAATTGTGAACATGTTCTCTTTGTGTGCATCGCAAAACAAAACAAAAATAATTCGCGGATTTTCACAAAAAAATTCGTGGATTTTCAAAATTTTCAAAAATTTAATGAAGATCGAATTTTGATGGAGACAAATATTTGAAATTTTGATCATTCATAAGCCATCCCTGGAGTCCCTAGATGTCCCACAAAAAATTTGGGCCCGATCGGTTCAGCCGTTTTGACGTTTATTGGATACAAACAGACAGACAGACAAACAGACAAACAGACAAGCCAAATTTATATAAAGATTTACCACAATTGGATCTTAGCACATCAACAGTAGTCTTGTTTTTGTTATTTTGCTTTAAACATCTAGCTATGTCGGCTTAAAATTGTTATAATTAGGTAGTCCTAAACTTTTAATTCTAATTTATCATTTTGTCATGGAGCTTCCTCAAACCTTTCTTTATCTGCTAATAATCATCTTATTTTTGAAAAATAAATATTATTTGTAGATTTCTGATCGAAGGGGGGGGGGGGGGTTCTAAAGAATTGTGATATTAAAAAAAAAAATTAACCCCCCCCCCCCCTCCGGAAACTATACATCTACTTATCCCAGGACATCTGTTAAATCCTTTTTCCGTTGTACATTACATAATCCAGCCAGCAATTAAAAACTTAATTAAAATTTTTAAAGTCAAATACTAAATTAATTTTGCATTAAAATTGCTGACTGGAGAATAGGACACAATTTCCTACCTTTTTCCGTGTCCTGGTGCAGTCCTTCTCCTAGATACTGGTCGTCATATCCGTCCTGATCATACTCGTCATACCGTTCATCATACTCGTCCTGCTGGACTAGAGCCTGACTATGGTATCCAGAAGGAGAAGGAAGGATGGGGACGGAATCCTTGGGTTCAGATTTAACTGGAACAACTTCTTGAATATCGTCGTCAGGGTTAGATGGGGGCGGTAGGGCGGCCTGGGGAGTAGGACGGGGACGTTTAGCCGGGGGAGGAGGATCCCGATCAGGTATATGAGTTTTAACAGGTGGGGTTCGGGGCTTAGGATCCGGTACAGATTCACCATTCTTATTCTGAGTCAATCCTTAAAAGAAAGTTGTTCAAGACTCTAAAAATACCGTTTGGGTAGAGGGGAGAGGGGGTGTTAAATACATTCATAGCAAACCATCTTAGGTAGAGGGGGGGGGGGGGGTAATACATTCATAGCAAACCATCATGCCCAAAAATAGTAAAGCTCTGAAAAACAAAATAAATATGAAAAGTACAGTACAGGGTGTCCCACGAAACATGAGAGTACCAAGACGATTTGAAAGTCGTCTCTGAACTTTGAATTTATTTGTGACATTCAGTCGTCAACCTACTTTCACATGTTTGGTTCTTGTAACAATAACCACAAAATTCTCCTAGTCCCGTTGTTTCCCAAATGTGGTCTGCCTTTGTGCTGTAAATATTACCAAAGATATTAAGAATTTCAACCCCATTTCGATTTTATGAAATAAAACCAAATCTGAACAAAATTCTTCCAATCTCCGGTAATATTAAAAGCACAAAAAAGGTAGACCCCATTTTGGAAATGCTAAGACTAAGGGCATTTAGTTATTATATTAACTCTAGAATTTCACTTTCAAATTTAGGTTTACGACTTAAATTGAAGGCGACGTTCAATTCGTCTGCTTCTGTCATGTTTTGTGGGACAATTTACATTAAGTATCGACGGTATTTCAAGTGAGCCTCCTTTTACAGAAATACAGAGGCCCGATGTAAAACAGTAAACTTAACGTTGTTGCTTTTCTTTCTAGGACATAATAATTTCAAGTATGGTTTTTCTGTTAAAGGGACTGTAAGCGTAATTTTTAAAAGTGATCCTACATATAACGATGCAAATGTCCGATTGTCTGATCAAGTATGAATTAAAAATTCATGTTTTTGTTTTTTTTGTAAATGGGACATCGCTATCGTTACATGGGTGCTGTGGGAACGTCTCACCACGGAAATGCCTCAAAAAAAGGACTAAAACTAATTCAATGTCGTCTTCTCTCACTAAAAATTAATTATTTAATAAAAATTATTTTTAGCATTAAATTAGGATATGTGGGGTTGCGCCGCAGGCTACGGAGGTGGGCCGAGCGCTGAGGACATGACTGTGAAATCGTAAGAATGTAGTCTTTTGAATTTTAAGTTGAGAGAATTATGACGTTAAATTAGTTTTATGAGTCTCGTTTTTTATGCATTTCCGTAGTGAGGCGTTTCCATAGCAACCGTTGCATGTAGTGTCACTTAAAATTACACTTAAAGTCCCTTTAAATTGACTTTTGGCAGAAACAATCATTAAAAGATTAAAAACTAATCTAAAATTTGCGTAGACAGTCCCTTTCAGTTACCTTTAACCCTGAGGTCCTCTGCAACAGCAAGGAATGAATTAAGCTCGTCCTGCGCCACGTTCACCTCCCCGTAGTACATGAAGTTTAACACAGACTCCAGGTCAGCAAACTTCATACCTCTAAATATACATTTATTTTAGAAACTATCCCTTTAAGCATAAATGTATTGAAGGAACTGTCCCTTTTAACATATATTTATTGAAGGATCTATCCCTTTAGAATACATTTATTATAGGAACTATCCCTTTAGAATACATTTCTTATAGGAACTATCCCTTTAAACATACATTTATTATAGGAATTATCCCTTTTAAGATATATTTATAATAGGAACTATCCCTTTTAACATATATTTATAATAGGAACTATCCCTTTAAACATACATTTAATAACGTAACTATCCCTATGAACATATATTCATTAAAAGAAACTATCCCTCTGAAAATGCATTTTTTAAAGGAACTATCCAACATACATTTATTAAAGGATCTATCCCTTTTAAAACATACATTTATTATAGGATATATCCCTTTCAACATACATTTATGAAAGCAACTATCCCTTTAAACATACATTTATTACAGGAACTATCCCTTTTAACATATATTTATAATAGGAACTATCCCTTTAAACATACATTTAATAACGTAACTATCCCTATGAACATATATTCATTAAAAGAAACTATCCCTCTGAAAATGCATTTTTTAAAGGAACTATCCAACATACATTTATTAAAGGATCTATCCCTTTTAAAACATACATTTATTATAGGATATATCCCTTTCAACATACATTTATGAAAGCAACTATCCCTTTAAACATACATTTATTACAGGAACTATCCCTTTTAACATATATTTATAATAGGAACTATCCCTTTAAACATACATTTAATAACGTAACTATCCCTATGAACATATATTCATTAAAAGAAATTATCCCTCTGAAAATGCATTTTATAAAGGAACTATCCAACATACATTTATTGAAGGATCTATTCCTTTTTAAACATACATTTATTATAGGATATATCCCTTTCAACATACATTTATTATAGGATATATCCCTTTCAACATGCATTTATTATAGGATAAATCCCTTTCAACATAAGCAACTATCCCTTTCAACATACATTTATGAAAGCAACTATCCCCTTGAACATATATTTATTATAAGATATATCCCTTTCAACATACATTTATGAAAGCAACTATCCCTTTAAACATACATTTATGAAAGCAAATATCCCCTTAAAAAAAAACATTCATTAAAGAAAATAATGGCTTTTTAACTCCCCCCCCCTCCGTTCAATTTTAGAAATTTTAGATATAAAAAATATGTTATTCAACAAAATTAATATTATTTATTTAGTTTTGTTTCAGGGTTAGGTGAGTAAAGACAATTTCTGGGCCGTGCGCTGCGTTCACATGTCCAACATGTGTAACATATGAGCTATATGTAAAAAATTGATAGGAGGGGATAAGGGGAAGCGTTCTCAAAGAAATTAACCAACCTGAGGTATATAAGTGGATGCTGATGTGGATTAACTTTTAACATATTCCTAAAGAAAGGACTGCACGCGCTTAATATCACTTTGTGCGCTTGTATTTGATTGTCCTCGCAAGCAAGCGTGATATCGAAGAACTCTTTTTCATCTCGTAAATCTCGAAACGCGACACTAATATTACTTTCAAAGTCATTCCACTTTAAACAAAACTTTTCGGTAGCCATGTTTACTGTTTTCCTTGGTCTAGTTTTATTTTTAGGACATCACGGAAACTTTTTAATTTAGCTATTTCACAAAATGTTTAAAGGATTAGTATGCTCTTTCTCTGTTTATTTTCTTTGTGTATGTCTACTCTGCTGGGTTGGGTGGAGAGAGACGCTTAGAAAACTGCCGGGGTTTGGTTTGGTTGGGTCGGCAGGGGATACAGGGGCACCCAATCAAACCTATTCGAGGAAAGGGGGTGATTCAGGGGCTGAATTAAAAAATTAATTTTTTGATAGAAAATGATGATAAAACATGAGAATTAAATATGAAAAAGTTTGATGAATTATTTTCCTGTGCTCCCGCATTGGTGTATAATCTACCCGCTTGGAGGATGAATAAGAAATATCAGGGAAATTCTGGGGAATAGGTCCTCAGATGGTTCCATGGAAAAAAGTTCCCAACTATGTTTACTGGGTGACTTTGCAGTTTTCATGAGTGCAGTGACGTTAAACATCCCATGGTAATAAATGCGGTTTTTCGTAATTTACTCTCTATAGATATATTTAAGTATATACTTGCTGACGATAATATACTCGAAAAAAGTCTTGGAACACCAAGAAAAAATCATTGCCTAAATAAAATCTTGTATTTTGGTGTGTGATTCCGTAAAAGAATATGCTATAATCTAAGAAAGGGTTAATTTATTTTAAAATCAATTAAAATTTATATTTTAAAATTATAAAGTTTCAATTAAAACCAGTCATGTCTGACTGACACGACCTTAAAGAAATAAAAACAATTTTCAGACTTATTATAATTGCCTTTACAAATTAAGACATTTTGCCGAAAGGCCAATAGGTGAGGGTCGGACGGCATAGAGGTAAGTGCAAGCTGCAAACCCGTTTTGTGAAGGATCATCTGCGGGTCGGATATCAAACAGGTGTTGGTTGCCTTCCCCTCCTCTCTCTGGGCTGTAAGCCCATAAAGTAAACACAAGACGGATGTCATAGCCTGACATGGGATTCATCTTTCACATAAAAAATCAATGAAATATTCTGGTCACAGGAAACTATTATGTGAATTGTCAAAATTGCTTTTATCCTCCTCGGAATCGGATACTAGAGGAACCTTGATGCATCTATTATGGTTTACAACCACCGCCAAGAGAGAACTGGTTTCAATATTAACAACAATTAACTTTCCCTGCTTTAATACCTTGGTTTAGACTATACCTGTAGGTGCTATCTCATTTGAACTACTGCCGTTTGAACTATTGTTCATTTGAACTATTGTTCATTTCAACTACTGCACGTGGGACCACGTGAGTAGTTGAAATGAACAATAGTTCAAACGAGTAAATATATTACTCATTTGAACTATTTTTTAGTTCATTAGAACTATTTTCATTTGAACTATTAAAATATTATTAATGAAATAAACCAAAAATAGTTCAAATGAACATAAAAATAGTTCAAATGAAAAAAAGAATAGNTTTTATGTTCATTTGAACTATTTTTATGTTCATTTGAACTATTTTTATGTTCATTTGAACTATTTTTATGTTCATTTGAACTATTTTTATGTTCATTTGAACTATTTTTATGTTCATTTGAACTATTTTTATGTTCATTTGAACTATTTTTATGTTCATTTGAACTATTTTTATGTTCATTTGAACTATTTTTATGTTCATTCTGTGTAATGTTTATCTAATTAATTGTCATGAATATAACTTTATGGAGATTATAAAAAAAATTTAAAAACTGAATTGGGGTAGAAAAATAGTTCAAATGAGCAAGAAATGCGTTGATTTAAACTACAGGATATGACGTCATGTCAGTAGTTCAAATGAACAATAGTTCAAACGAACAATAGTTCAAACGAACAATAGTTCAAACGAACAATAGTTCAAACGTACCATAGTTCAAACGGCAGTAGTTCAAATGCGGATCCACCTACCTGTAAGACAGTAAAGCGCAAAGGTATTTGCAAAGGGGGGGGGGTACAGATTTAAAAATCCTATTTATTAACAGACTATTAAAAAAGCCGAATTTTGTAAAATTTTCGTCATTATAATTTCTTTAATCTCATAAATTTTGGGGGCAGCCGGCCGAAAGTTCTCTCTAAATATATTCAACCACTTTTTAACTAATTTATAATTATAATACTAAAAAGTAAAATTTATCATTATTTTATCAAGAGATCAAAATATTTAGACTAAAGACTATACAGTCTGTAATTATCACTTTCGTTTAAATGGCTCATTCTCCTTACAAAGACTATTGTTTGATAAAAAAAAGCAGAATTTAGAGATCTTAAATTTTCAGTCACCAGTGCATTGAGGATCTTGAGGCTTAGATCTTTTCTGTTCCGAGTATTTAAGCTCAAAAGAATTTTATTAATGTTGTTGTTGTTAAGGATCACTAAAGATTGAGAGTTTTAGATCTTCATATTGCTGTTGTTGTTGATCATTGAAGATTAAGAATTTTAGATCTTCATATTCTTGATATTGATCACGGAAGATTAAGAATTTTAGATCTTCATGTTGTTGTTAATGATCACTGAAGATTAAAAATTTTAGGTCTTCATGTTGTTGATATTGATCACAATCTTCATGCTGTTGTTGATGATCACAGAAGATTAAAAATTTTAGATCTTCATGTTGTTGTTAATGATCATTGAAGATTAAGAATTTTAGATCTTCATGTTGTTGTTGTTGTTCACTGAATAATAAGAATTTTTGATCTTCATGTTGTTGTTAATGATCACTGAAGATTGATGTTGTTGATCATTGAAGATTTAGAGTTTTAGATCTTCATGTTGTTAGCTAGGGATTCTAGCCCCTTTATTTCTGCGTTATTTGTTTGTAACCATTTTTTGAATTCATCATTTACTTCAGAATCAACAAGATCAGTCTCTTCAGAGGTCAAATCCTTAAATATCAATTTTTAAAACAATGGTAGGAGATAATATCAATACAAAGAAGACGACATTCAATTAGAATATTGTTTTATATCAAGCCTTTAAACAGTATATACACATAAACATGGAAAGAAAGAGAAGCTGTTTATTAAAAAAGCTTCTCTTTTATTACTTGTAATTCGGAAAACCTTGTAAACAACCAATACTTAAATAAAATTGTCGTCTTCGTTGTATTGATATTATTGCCTACCACTGTAATTACACTCCAAATTTTAACACTTATTCTAGAGATCTTGAATTTAAATCGCTCCAAATAAAAATGGATAATTTTAGAACCAGGTCAAATGTTCAGGACTTGTTAGTTCAAATTAGCGCGATTTAGAATTTAAAAAGTGTCTGATTTCTGTTGAACTTCATCTTTAATCTAAGGGTTTTTCAGGGTTGATAACAATAGAAGAAACAGGATCAATAATATATAAAAACTAGAAATTAGTTTGAACTTGATCAATCTTTTTATTTTAACAAACCTGAGATTCTAGAAAAACTTTCCAAGCTTTCACTGGTTCTTCTCTCTTCTCTAGTTCACATCGGAATTCATCTGAATTATTTTACAGTAAAAACAAGAAAGATTCAGATTGTCGTCATCGTTCTTACTTTTAACTATGACAGTCTCTAAGATTTTGAAAAATTCTTATAATTGATTCTAAAAATGTATTAAGTAAAAAATTAGTTAGAAAATACAGGATTCTCGGCTAAATTTCAATGTCAAAGAAAGAATGAAGATTATTCCACTGTTTTCAGATTATTAATATGAATATTGATTTAATAAGATCTGAATAATCTGATGGTGCACATTCTTAAGGTAACGGATTGATTTTCAAATATTTTGAGAAAAACACCACCTAAACTTGGAATTTTAAGGAATTTTTCTTTTAAATTATTATGTTTTTTTACCATTAAAGTTGTAATTTCTTTTTAGTTTTTTCCTTAATATTCTAATTAATCTTCAATGAGAGATTTATACCTGGAAGTTCTGTTAAAGATTTGATGTTAAGGTTTAAGAAAGGGATGAAGAACTGAGAGAACTGGATTGAATTCTGTGGAACTAGAACGGAGTTTGTTCCTTCAGGGTTTATGAGAAGAGGAGTAGGGTAGAAATCCAACCTAGATTTTCCTCGCCAACTCTTTAAATCGGAATCTACAAAAATATAGTGGTCGACGTTTATATCAATACATTGAGGACGACTTTTTAGTACAAGTTTTCATTGTTAACACGCTTTTTTCGAATCACAAGTTTAAAAGTAAAGAAAGAGAAGCTGTTAATACCTTTCCATGATTATGTGTATTCATGTTGTTTAAAAGCTTGTTAAAAATCAAAATTGAAATCAAACGTCGTCTTCACTGTATTAATATTTACCAAGACGAATGTACATTTGGTGAAAATACAACTTTTCAATTTTAAATGAATATTCGACCACATTGTTTGTCTCAGTCTTTCGTTTGTTTGTTGGGTCCGATTTTTTTGTGAAATTAGAAATTAAATTTTGAACACAATTTTTCTGAAAAACGAGAATTAAATGAGTGCGTGAAAATAACATAATTATTATTATTAAAAAGAGGGGCGCTAAGCATCAACAAATCCTAGTTTTATAAAGTGTTTTACCCTACCTAGACCAACGTAGTTAACATTGTACGGATAAAGACCGAGGTTGCCCGAGGTTCTTCTATCAATTATTGGTCTCTTCTCCGTTCTCATGTAGAGGCTAGAGTCCCAGGTCTCTCCGACAAGGACCAGGGAGGCCAGAGACATGAGGTTGAGGCCACTACAGCCTTGAACCCTTAGGATTTCATGAACAGGTCCCGTTACAATAGTTGTATTCACGCACTACAGTCAAATACAACTTTTAACCAATTCAAAATTAAATTTAAAAAACTGACTTGATTAGAAAATAAATCTAGGTTTTAAAAAAAGGTTAAACTAATTTTCCTTAGTGATTGTTAAGGACATTAGAGGGGAGAGAAGATACAGAAAGGAATTATTACACCTGAGCGAGTTAAGATTTTGCATAAAAAATATTTAAATAATAAATTATTTATTTTTTAATTATGTATAAGTACTTACTAACTGGATACTTGTGACATATAAAAATTTTCATAATAAATCTTTTCAAAATAATGATACCATGCATGTAAGTTCAAATTTAATTTAATTTTTTCGTTAACCTAAAAACTTTTTACTGACAAGTAAAAGAAAAAGAATCTTAACTATCCTGTGGATTTTAACATGTGCCCCGACCAAAGTGCTTGAACGTCTTGCACATGTTTGTTCAAATTTAATTTAATTTTTTCGTTAACCTAAAAACTTTTTACTGACAAGTAAAAGAAAAAGAATCTTAACTATCCTGTGGATTTTAACATGTGCCCCGACCAAAGTGCTTGAACGTCTTGCAACTGTTTTGTATAAAAGCTTGCTAATCACAATCAGTTTACGCGGCATTAGCACGTGCGCATTGGTCGCCATTTTTGGTTTCTCTATCTTCTTGGGCGGCTTGATTTCACCAAGAGGCCAAGATATTCTTTTCCCATCAGTTTTAATACATGCTAGAACTCCCTCACGTGTTGTTTTTAAGTGTTTTTGAATGGTTAAAATGATTTCTTCTGGTGGGATTGTTTTCAAAACTTCTGGGAACAATATTTTTTCATCATTTTTTAACACAGTGAAGGCAGTATCCCACACTCTGTTACGGTCCTTCAGGTCGTCTTTGAGACATAGAATTTCCCTAAAAAGATTAAATTTGTCAAACTATGTTTTTTTGTGTAATTTATAAATTTACCAAAGATCTTTAATCCGTTCTTGATAAAACTGAACATGAAGATCTTCGTCGTAAGTCTTGTGATGTTTTCTCTGCTCATCCAACTCAGGTTTGCCAGGCCAGCGCTCGGTGGATAATCGGTCAACTGAGCGAGATCTAGTCAGTCTGTCAGGATTTTAGAATTTAGTTTAATATTAGTTTTTAATGCTTTCTTTTACGACCAAAAGCAATTATAACATGCAGACAAATACGTGTTCAAGAAAGCAAAGGGAAAATGTTTTTTACTTTTTAATTTGACTTCAAAAAATATTTTTGGTCATAAGGTTTTTGAAAATCATTTAAGTACAGTGAAACCCTTAATAACGAATACATGGAAATTTTCATCAAATGTCGTATTCTTCACTTTCTGATAATGGAATGTTGCAGATAGTTAGTTTTTTAATTAAATGATTATATGGAACTCTTTAAAACTGTTCCCGCATATTCATGGCTATTTGTTTATTTTCGCAAACACTGAAATTTACGTAATATAGTATAAAACATATTAAAAAATTGTCAAGACGACATTTGATAAATTCTTCCGATGTATTCGTTATTAAGGGTTTCACTGCACGTCACATAAAGATCAGAAAAAAATCAGAAAGAATCAGAAAGAAAAAGAAAGAAAAAGCAAGAATCACAAAGAATCAGAAAGAATCGGAAAGAATCAGAAAGAATCAGAAAGAATGGGAAAGAATCGGAAAGAATTGGAAAGAACCTCAGAAAGAATCAGAAAAAATCAGAAAAGATCAGAAAGAATCAGAAAGAATCTGAAAGAATAAGAAAGAATAAGAAAGAATCAGAAAGAATCAGAAAGAATCAGAAAGAATCAGAAAGAATCAGAAAGAATCGGAAAGAATCGGAAAGAATTGGAAAGAACCTCAGAAAGAATAGACTGAAAGAATCAGAAAAAATCAGAAAAGATCAGAAAGAATCAGAAAAGATGAGAAAGAATCAGAAAAGATGAGAAAGAATCAGAAAGAATCAGAAAGAATCAAATAATCAGAAAGTTAGAATTTAGTGACGGACTTGTATGCCAATGAATATTAAGGTACTACTGAGTTGTACATAATGCTTTTTCAGTCATTTTTTAAGTTTTAAAATGCAAATCATTTTCTCGAAACCCACAAAAAGATAACTTTCTATTAGTGAGATAAAGAATTAAGACTCCATTAGAATAATTATAATTTCCATTCTGTTTTGGACTACTTATACAAAATTTATCTATTTTTCTATCTATCTATTTATCAAAATATATCTAAAAGCGAATTCTTCCTTTTGGTGTAAACTTCAAAAAGTTGGAGAAACAGAGAGAAGAGAAGAAGATTTGTGCTGATTTCTTCTTCTCCTTCATTTCTAGATAATAAAAAAATTAAAAATATTGTTTAAAAATCTATTTCAATATTATAAATTCGTAATACAAAAGAGTGACATAAACGATTCCCAGCCGTACGCTTTAAATATTTATCTGAGAAATAATTTCCTTCAACTTCTCATTATTTAGTTCTCTAATCTAAACCATTTATAACGCAATTTACAAAACATTTTCGAGATAAAATCAGGAATACATATTAAGATTATTCAGATTGAACAAAGTTTAATAGAGTTACAAGATCCATAAGACTGTGGACTGTGGAAAAGGAAAATGATTATCAGACTCAAGTTATTAATTTAAATACTTCAACAAACACAAAACACAGCAACTGCAGAGTGCACAGACCCATTTACCTTACTAAGTTGATTTTCAAATTACTACTGCAAAACTTATTTGTAAGATTGCTTGAATATCGTCTTCCTATACCAGAGGCCGAATTTAAAGAATTTGAGCCGCGGTTTAAATTTAAGCCGCCGCTCAAATATGGTTGGTTCCACTTAAATTTGTATCAAATGTTTCAAGATTTAAGCCGGCGCTCAATTTAAACCGGGTTTTGGCAGATTTAAGCCGCGACTAAAATTCTTTAAATTCGGCCTCAGTTCGTGACACTTTAAAATTTTGGTGACAGCCCCGAAGTGACCGGCCCTCTTTATAGCGTGACATGACCGATTCACGGTATTTTTAAAAGTTTATTTCGATACCGTTGTGAATCGAACATACCCCTCTTATTTTTAAATGGAGGGTCCCTTAAAATTATACCAGTCTCTTAAAATTATACCAGTCTCTTAAAATTATACCAGTCTCTTAAAATTATACCAGTCTCTTAAAATTATACCAGTCCCTTAAAATTATACCAGTCCCTTAAAATTATACCAGTCCCTTAAAATAATACCGGTCCCTTAAAATTATACCAGTCCCTTAAAATTATACAAGTCCCTTAAAATCATTCATTTAATAAATCAATTTTAAAATAAATTTTTGAAAAGGTAGAACTAAATAAAAATGAAAAAGGTAGAAAGAACTAAAACACACCTGTTAAAAAAACGATGAGTACAGATGAATAAGGCCCGAGAATTCTCTTGGTATAAATCACAGTGCTCCGAACACAGTTTAACAAAATAATCTTCAGTAATCTAGCATTCAACAGTTCTAACTGTGCTACAATGGTCGGCGATTATAACAATACAATGAAGACGATTTTTTAATTTAAATTTTGATTGTTAACATGCTTTTTGCGAAATTGCAAGTTTACAAGATCAAAGAAAAGCTTTTTAAATGACAATTTCTCTTTGTTTCCATGTAAATGTTTATTTATGCTGTAATAATTCAAAATTGTAATCAAAAGTCGTCTTTATTGTATTGATACATGAACAAGATATATATACAAGATATATATACAAGATAAAAAAAAAGCTTTTTAAATGACAACTTTTCTTTGTCTCCATGTAAATGTTTATTATTGCTGTACTATTCAAAATTGTAATCAAAAGTCTTCTTTATTGTATTGATATATAAGACGACTGTATTAAAACAACAAAAAGAAAATCAAATTTTGTGTTTAAAATGGCATAAGCACGCTAGTTAAAAAACAACTAAACAGAAATTAAAAGGTTAATGTTAAAAATAGTTAAAAAATAATAATTTTTCTGTTATCTGTAATCCTAAAACAATTTAAATAACAAAAATGAAATTGAGCTTAAAGGGAGTGACCGGCTTGACACTGTAGTTGAGCTAAGAGAACAGTACTGTATACGGCCACTCTCTTTAATCCTTCAAGGATTGAATGTTAACTGTGATTATCATTCTTCTTTTTCTTAATTCACACTGAAAGAGAAAGTAGGCGTAATTCCCAGTAACCCTCCATATATAGAGTGGCACGCCAAATTCACAACGATACCCTTGAAGCGTTGTAAACTCAAAAATGAAGGAGATATCTTTAATTTCCCTTTAAAAATTGAATATTTCCACTACTGTGCTTTCTTTATAAAACGTGACTTGCGTTGCTATAGAAACATGACAGAAAAAGAGAGAATTAAACACTAGAAAAAAAGACTATTTCTTTCATATTATTGATCGTTGTAAATATTGCACATAGGACATAGGTCTGCAATCCCTCTAAACCAAATATTTTTTAAGAATCTCTTCAACGCTAGTTCTTTTCTGGAAACCAGGCGTAATTATTTTAATCAGAATCTGAACTGAAAATGCCTGGTTTAAATTCCCCCGGAGCAGGACGGATTGAATTCTTCGTATCCCGTCAAATGTAAAATTAGCTCCAAGTCTCCCTAAAAGTTTAAGAAGTAGAGAACTTGAAATTTCACCATGAACATATTACAACTTTATTAATGCCGTTAGAGATAGAAAGCATGGATGTTTTCCAGTTCAAAGGTTAAATTTAAAGCATCTTTGGAAATTTTTTTATTTTTTTATGACTCTGAACCAGAGGCAGCTAATAGGCAGAAACCATCTGGAAAATTGGAGGAAAGGGACACAACATTTTCTGGCAACAAGGAAGAGGGGAATGCTTCTAACTCCTTCAATTCGGTTTTTAAAATTGGAAAAAAAAGCATTTTACAATTTTTTGATAATCTCTTTTCATAAACCGCCCGGCCCCGGCCCTGCAAAATTACCTGGAAGGAGGAGGTTTTCAAAAACCTCAGAGTTGACAAAAAACTTAAACATTGTTCAAATCATCTGAAATTAAATCATTGAAAATAAAATAAAAATCTTATTTATTATTCAACATTCAATTATAATGATAATCTAGGTACATATATGGGCGACAATTTTCTCCATTTGATCTGAAAATAAAAATATTTATATAAATTATATAAGTTTTCTATTCCATCCTTGTTCACCAATTTTGGAACTCAAGTTGTTTATGTTTTCTCTTCATGTGCTGTTTCAATTCTCCTTTTCTCTTAAAGAATTTATCACAAAGCGAACATTCCTCAAAAATACCGTCAGGTTTATCTTCTTTATGTTGCTGAAAAAGAAAAAAAAAAGTATTTATTTGTTAAAACCAATTAAAGAAACTTAAGACGTTAAGTCCGTAAAGAAGTAATGTCAAGTGACCATCAAATTATAGAGTACCATGTCCGATTCACAATATTACACATGTGGCGGGGGGCAACGTACATTTGATTAGAGACTGTACAGAAATATTAGAGAAATTGAATAAAGCTGCAAGGCGGCAGGAACTATTGAGTACGTCTAAGCCACCATATTGATGTTTTACAAACCTTTGAATGGGGGGATGCACTGTAGAACGGTATTTGTTAATTAAAATTTAGTTCAATTCAAAACTTTAAATTTCACACCATAAACACGAATTGTAATTACTATGGTACAAATATTTAATGTGTGCATATCCCGCTTACTACATGTACACTCTACAGATGAAGCCGTACTGCGTGACCTCTTGGATAAAATCAGTGGAGAGTTCAATTCCTTGTGTACACCGAGTACACCACATACATCTAAAATCTATATACTTTTTTATCTAGGTATTACACACAATAAACCCTTCTTTGATCAAGGAAATCTAAGTGAAATTTAATCATTTTCAATTGTAGTTACTCTATGATATACTACGGATTAATCCCTGAGAAGCAATAAAGAATACAATCATAGTGTTACACCTTTTTACACAGAAAATCGACGATATCTTCCTATTTGAGACTCAAATAGTGGGTAAAATGGTACCGTTGTAAATCGGACTAGTTGATCATAAAATGGAGGTCACTAGAAATGACGTCTACATTTTTTCACTTTTTAACCCGTCTTACCTTTATACAATGGTAGATGAGTGTTTTCTTATGCTGAAAGCTTTGGAAACAATATTTGCACTGGAAATCAAATTTTCCTCCCATCTGATGGCTGTTCTTTATGTGCATCGTCACATACCGTTTACCACTAAACGTTTTCCCACAGATGTTACAAGAGTTGGATTCCTGAAAAGAAAATATCGCTGATAGCAAGTATAAACGATCACAAATGAAAATACATCAATTTTTTGATTTTTTGATTTTTAACTGTTTAACTGATGAATCTGTGCAAAAATGTCGGTATCAAGCAGTGATCACATTGATAGAACTGATCTCCATCTAATGCAAACCAAAGGATTAAGTTTATTCCTTATCGATACCCTGCGGTTGTCATAACCTGTAGAGATAGTTGACGAGATCTTGCATTTATCCTCAAACTTAAAAGTTCAGACCTCTGAAAACTTCAGAATGAGATATCCATAATCCCGATTACTTAATCTGAGTATCCAATGGGCAAACTTTTGATTTTCTTCATAAACCGTTCTTTCTTGGATAAAGTAGAGAAAAATCAAAAACCGGGTTTTCTTAATTAGAGAGTTCCTCCCATTTCTGTATATAATCTTAAATGGCGCGCAAAATATCAAATTTATCGACTTTATATACGCGACTCTGATTGGTTGAAATTTATACACTTTTCAGGATACAAGTGCAAGATTAGATTAGTCTCAATATTATGAAAGAGAGGATCATGCATTAATCTCGATATTCACCATTCTAAAGTTTTCAGCTCAGAGCTGAAAACTTTAGAATGAAATATCCAGATATCCCGTCGAATAATTAATCTGAAGATTAAAATCATGCATTAATCAAGCAATATTTAATCTCGAGATTAAGAAAAAGAGTGGTTTAAGCCTTAATCCTGATATCCACCATTCTAAAGTTTTCAGCTCAGGTCAAATTTCAAGAATTCTAACATTACAATATCCCTAGGCCTAGCAGGGTTTCTAATGAAAGGAAAGATTGAAGGATGAAGACAATCAGTATATTGCCTTATGTTATCTTTGTCGACGAATACATTAGAACAGATTGAAAAATAAAAAAAATAACATGTTGTCAAAACAAAAAATTTATTTCGGAATTCGATAATTAAACAAGTTTTTTTTAATCCGCTGTTTTGAGATTTTTATGCAAAATAAAAGCCTCTGCTCCCCCCCTCTATATACCTTTGTATGATCTTCCGCGGCATGCAGGGTTAAGTAGTGTTCAGCAGGAAATTTCATGCCGCAGGTCTTACAGATACTCTCACAGTATACTTCTCTACAATAACAATGACAATAACGATAGCGATAGCGACAACGACAACGACAACGACAACGACAACGACAACGACAACGACAACGACAACGACAACGACAACGACAACGACAACGACAACGACAACGACAACGACATTAACAATAACAATATGGAATATCAACAGCAAAAATAACAATTAATTACTAAGAAAATATACAAGAATAACAATCAGTAACATGATATTAATAATAAAGATAATTAGGAACAAAAATAACTTCAATTTTTATTTTATCCTGACACCAAGAAAAGATTTTCCCACAAGCAAAGTGGAATATTTTATTACTTTCAAGTAAATCTGTTATGAAATGTCCAAAACTTTTTATTTAATTTGGTTGGGCTTATTTTGGGAAAATTTTGCTCTTTGGAAAAATGTTGAAACTAACTTGTGTATCTCCTTGACATGTGAGCATAGTCTGAACCTGGAGTAGAACACCTCCATGCACAGGTAGCACTGCAGGTTCCTCTCAAAGTCCCCGTGCACCTCGTGCTAAAATATTTATAACAATGTCATCTGTTCTGTTCTGTTTACAACATGCTATGTTCCGTTCTGTTCTATAAAATGTCCTGTTTTAAATATTCTGTTCTGTGCATATCGTAAATGTTTTATAAAATTAGTTTCCTTCCATTCAACTATTTTAACTTCATTTCAAAGAGAAAAAATCTCAAATTCCTTTCAACCCAAAACTATTTCAAGGTTTTAGAAATTGTAAACATTGTAAAAAATGTAAACCAACCCCTTATGTAATATATCTTGTTCTTGTTATTAAACTCACCTTGTGTTTGACGCAGCTAAACATATCTTTAAACAGTTGATCACAGACATCACATGACAGCATGGCTTCAAGTAAATGTTGGCTTTTGTAGTGAGTTATAGCCTAGAGTAATACATTTTGGACTTTAGGATACAGATCTAATTATTTTGTAGTGAGTTATAGCTTAGAGTAATACATTTTGGACTTTAGGATACAGATATAATTATTTTGTAGTGAGTTATAGCCTAGAACAATACATTTTGGACTTTAGGATACAGATATAATTATTTTGTAGTGAGTTATAGCCTATAATAATACATTTTGGACTTTAGGATACAGATATAATTATTTTGTAGTGAGTTATAGCCTAGAATAATACATTTTGGACTTTAGGATACAAATATAAGTATTTTGTAGTGAGTTATAACCTAGAATATTACAACATTTTAGACTTTAGGATACAGATATAATTATTTTGTAGTGAGTTATGGCCTAGAATTATTCGGTTTGGTATTTAGGATACAGATATATCCATTTCGGGGGTTTTATCTAAAACCACTTGACGAACATTTGGACACAATTACGTGTTACAAATATAAAAATTCTTAAGTCAAACATTCATCCGTATTTATATTATCCATTTCTGTCAGGAATGAACGATGTAATTTCAATTACCCCCCCCCCCCCATTAAAACAATTGCGTGATCGATTCAAGACTTCATAATCAGTTTTAAGAAAGAAAACAAGGGTATAAATTCCTTGTTTTCTTTTTACCTGGTTGTACTTTTTGAATTTTTTCTCACAAAGAATACAGTAATGTAGCGCCATCTCGTCTCTACTTGCCAGACGAACTATTCCTTTATCATCCAGATAATCAGCATTCAACTGGGTCTAAAAGAAAGTTGTCTGTCTGTTTGTATCCAAAAAAAAACGATTGGGCCGAATCTACTTGCCGCAACGCACACGACCCCAGGGTTAAGGTTTATGGATGGTTGAAACTTAAGTGAAAAATTTTACCTAGAAAAAATGTCAATTTTAGAATTCTCTGACAAATCCGCAAAATTTTAAGTTTTACAATTATAAAGAAAAAATGGCCGGTTGAAAATAATAACCCTAGTATCTTATATTTTGCCATTCTGATATTGTAAATTCCATAACTGAAAACTCTTATGAATATTTGATGAAATCTTAATATCAAATAAAACTTACCCCCCTCCCCCTTCCCATGTCATTTATTTATTTATTATGGCAACCCTAAAACTACGAATGGAGTTAGCAATGACGCCTGTCGGCACCTTCCTAGCTAAATGATAAAAGGTCATAGTTTCAGTATTTATTGGAAACATCCCCATCTTTAGAGCACAGAAAATAAAGAAAAATACGGTTGAATAACCTTGTCTATTTTAAGAGTAGTTAGTGGAGATTCAGTTCCCTTAGTTTTCTTCCTCTTCTTCCCTAGTCCAGATCCAGGTCCCATTTCAGGTTCAGGTCCTTCTCTGAGTCTTCTCGGAGCCCCGTCCTGGTCCACTATAACGATTGTATGGTTCATCTGATTCATCCTACCCTCTTCCTCCTCCTCCTCCACTTCCTCTGCTGCAACCTCTGCGGGTGGGGTTGCCAGTTCTAATCTCATATCCGTCGTTAAACTTATGATTCGGGATTCACAAAATCTAAAAATTAAATGTTTAATATATCCATTAAATTAAAAACTAAAAATTCCCTGGTTCAAAGGTTGATAACGGTAATTTTCGTGGATTTTCATCTTTAAACATTCTTTTTAAGTTCAGTAGTAGAGTTAAATCAGAACTTACTCCGCTATTTGATGACATTGTAATGTTTGAGAAATAGAGATTAAATTGTCCAGATCATTTATCTCTACATCATCAAGAACATCCTAAACATTTAATTACATGATCAAGAACATCGTAAACATTAATTACATCATCAAGAACATTCTAAACATTAATTACATCACCAAGAACATTCTAAACATTAATTATATCATCAAGAAAATCATAAACATTAATTACATCATCAAGAACATCCTAAACATTAATAACATCATCAAGAACATCCTAAACATTAATAACATAATCAAGAACATCCTAAACATAGATTATATCATCAAGAACATTCTAAACATAAATTAAATGATCAAGAACATTCTAAACATTAATTACATGTCAAGAATATCCTTAACATTAACTACATCATCGAAAACATTCTAAACTTTAATTACATGATCAAGAACATCCTAAACATTGATTACATCATTAAGAACATCCTAACTATTAAGTACATCATCAAGAACATATTCAACATTAATTACATAATCAAAAACATTCTAAAAATTAATAACATGATCAAGAACATCCTAAACATTAATTACATCATCAAAAACATTCTAAACATTAATTACATGATCAAGAACATCCTAACCATTAATAACATCATCAAGGGAATCCTTAACATTAATTACATCATTAAGAACATCCTAACTATTAAGTACATCATCAAGAGCATATTCAACATTAATTACATAATCAAAAACATTCTAAAAATTAATAACATCATCAAGAACATCCTAAACATTAATTACATAATCAAAAACATTCTAAACATTAATTACATGATCAAGAACATCCTAACTATTAATAACATCATCAAGGGAATCCTTAACATTAATTACTTCATAAAGAACATCCAAGTTATTAATTATATCATCAAGGACATCCTAAACATTAATTACATCATCAAGATCTGAAGTGAAAATTAATCAACTGAAAAACAAATATGATGAATTTATTAGTGCTTAATCTCAGTATGATAACAAGTAATAGGAGTATGGAGACCTTCCAGGAGATTTAAGTACCTGTAAAGCCCATGATCCGCATAACATGGCCACGCACGTGGCTCTCTTTGCGTGACTACTTCAAGTATTCAAGTATTCAAGAACATCCTAAACTTTATCAAGCACATTCCAAACATTAATTATATCATCAAGAACATCCTATACATTGATTACGCCACCAAGAACATCCTAAACATGAATTTACATCATCAACAACATTTTAAACAACAATTATATCATCAAGAGCATTCTAGAAAAATTCACTTTACTACTTAACTAACCTGGAATATTATTCGGTTAAGCAGAGACATATTAGAGATCGTAAAACAGTCAGGGAGTATAACAACCCTAAATATATCAATAATAAATACACAAATACACTTTTTCAGTATCATTATTATTAATATCATCATCAAACGACCTAGATTGAAAGTGTAACTTCGCAAGCCTGAATATCTTTATATTATTTCTAAAATACATTTTAAGCTTGATTTCTTATTAAATCATACCTTAACGCATTATCACATGCTCTATAGCTTTACAGAATAAAATTGTTTGTGCAAGAATGTTCAAACTTTTCCTGGAACCTCACAAATATGAAGCTTCAAGATCATTTCTTTTTGTAAAAGAATTATTACATTTTTTTTTCTTAAGATTATCCTATTAATCATTGTTCACCTATAATTATCTATCCTAGGAACAGAATGAAAAAGATCTTTAAGAAATGGAGATATCGATGCCAGTACCATTCCACTCGCTAACATCTAGAAGAATAAAATTATTTAGGAAAAATAACTCTTCCAAATTCGATTCATTTAAACTTAAATACAGGTGAACAAAACTACAAAACAAACTTAAACAATGAATAAATAGAGGGTGTCAAAAATGGCAAAGTCGCTTTATTTCTCTTTGACACCTTGTGCGTTTATAGAAATATCAACTTTAGCCATTTTAAAATTATTTTTAATATTCCTTTTTTTAAAAGCTTCCGGCCCCCATTTTAATAACTACTTAAGTGTCTATCAATCAATTCTCTTGTAACGCGCACACTAGTTCTAACCTTGGCACTAGTTTCAACAATCCTTTGTATTCTTTTTAGAATTTCTTGGATGATAGCATTACATGTGCAAAGTAACTGTTCTATACCTCTCCATCTGAGCAGATGAGTAGGACATCACAAAGTTCTCCATGTGAGAGTAGAGATGGGATCTGGGAGGTAATCAATTTCTCCTCAAACTCCTGGTACGGATGTCGGATAAGTTAAAAATTTAAGACGTTAAATCTAGTATTAAGAGTTACCCACGAAAGATGAGACTTAAAGGTAGAGACAGGCTAGGCATGGTAGTTCAGCTGAAAGTGCAGCATTGTAGAGAAAAACTTTAAGATTCATTTGATACCAATGAGACATTTTTACGGTGTACAACTTTTAAATGAATTCACCAGTTGTTTCAGTTAGAAGAAAAAAAGGTTTTTTACAAGCTGTTCAGGAACATATTTCTTAAAAGAATTGATTATTTCATTATCATCATTTCCTTTGCTGTTTCTATAATTTTATTCGCAGATTTCTTCAAATATCGTCTTCACAATAAAAATAAAGAAAACCTCCAACAAACTACCCAAACTGAAAGAATTTGCATAAACCTACGAGATTTAAAATAAATTTTAATTACTTATTTTCAATGATATAAGTTCAGTATATTTCTCAATCTGTTTGTATACATGCAACTAAATAGTTTGTAGAATAGTTTTTGTTACATGTTTTGTCCATGTTATTTAAGAATTGTTAAAAACTTTCTTCTGCTGACTAAAACAACTGGTGAAATATTACAAACGATTTCATGCACTTATTTAAAAATTGCACAACGTAAAAATGTCTCTTAGGTATCAAATGAACCCTAAAATTGTTCTCTACAATACAGCACTTTTAGCTCAACTACCATGTCTAGCCGGTCTCTCCCTTTAAATGACGACCTAAAACTCCCTAGATATGCCGATTTGAAGTTTATATTTGGTCTTTGGAATTAAAAATAGGTTTCTGTGGACCTACTGAACTATTTAAGACAGTAAAAAAAATGCGGGGAATCTTAAATGTTAAAGATAAGTCTGAATAAATTCTGTCTCTTAAAGCCTCATTCTTTGTGGGTAACCCTGTAAAAATCATGAAGTCATTTATCTTACAAGTAACCAGATATTTGAACTACTTTCTCAATGGTCAATTGAGACATTAATTCCTTGAATCTAACTTTTTAAAAAGATCTCAGTTCTGGTATGCAGCTTGAAGGAAATCATAGTTTACAATTTAGAATTTTGAAACTGTGTACAATGTACACCTTAAAAATTGTACAAGGTGTACATTGTATACAATGTAAACCTTGTAATATAAGGGAATGTGTACTTTAGGCAATAACAAGAAGGAAATAGTCAGTTTTAGTTTAATTAAATCAACCGATGATAATCATTTATGGAACTCTTTAGAGAATACCTTGAAATAAAGCTGTTTAAAATTCTAAACTTACCTTGTACTGTATCTTTAAAGTATTTGGAAAGGGTCCCTTCTCCTGGTTGAGAAGGTTCACTTTCTCCGGGAGCAGGTTTTCCTTCTCCGGGTTTAGCAATCTTACCAGAACGGAGTTCTGCAGCTCAGGGTTCCAGGTTGGACCCGGAGTTGGCTAAAAACCAGTTTACAATTTCAGGGAGAATAAGTAAAAGCAATTTAAAAAGATACAATATAATTCTCATTTAAGTATATTCAATCAACAAGGGTATAAAAATAATAGCGTGAAGTTTTTAAAAAAGCGCATACAACTATTTAATCCTTCAAACATTAAAAGACAGAACTCATGACATTATTATCAAAATACTTCAGATTCCATTTTTAAAAAGTACTTAGTAAAAATTGTAGAGTAAATGAAAAATAATGAGGTTGAGTGAAAAAGTTGAGATCGTTAAAATACATTGAAAATGACAAGGTTATTTTGTACAAAAATGCGGTAAAGCTTTACACGGAAAAAGGTTGAAATTTTAAAAGCATAAAAAATATTTGAGTACATTATTTTCAAATACTTACCTTTCTACTGATCTTTATAGTTCTAGATGCTTGTTGCCCCTTCTGTGGTGTTCCTCCAAGCTTCCGTCTAAAATGAAAAATAAAAAATATTATTTTTTCAAATTGCTGTGTGGAGATTGTAAATACCTATTTAAACCAGTATGCTGCAGACTAATATTATTTGTAGCAGGTTCTAAAAGATCTTGAAGTTTTCTCCTCCGAAAGTTAGGCTCCTGCGAGAGTATTCTCCGACCTTGAGTATTCTCCGGCAGTATATTTGCTCCCCCGGACTCCTCAGGGAGAATAGTCCGACCTCCAGTATCCTCTGGGAGAATACTATCATGAGGTTTCATGTTGAGGTTCATGTTCTCGTGAAGTCCGGAAACTAAACTCTCACGTAGCTCTCTTTCCTAGAAAACAAATAATAATTTTTCAATGAAAAAATTAGAATTTATTAAAATTCAGGATTTGTATAAATTAGAAAGAATCTAAATCTGGAAGAGTTTATGTCTTTAAGGTATTGACAGAGGGGGGGGGGGGGGAAGATAGTTTTTAATAAAATAAAAAAAGATAATTATTTTTATTTACCTCTGTCGTCATATCTTCAGGTTCCAGGACAAAGTTAGGTATTTCTCCAAGTTGTATTTTCATAATCCGTCCTGGTACTCCTCCCTCTATACCCTCTACTCCAACCTCCTAGATTAAATATAATTTCTCCGAGAGTTGTATCTTAATAATCCGTCCTGGTACCCTACCCTCTATATTCCTACTTCAACCTCCAATGTCAAAACTTCAAATTTGTTCTTAGGTAGATATGTCCATCTTAGAGTAAAAAAGAGAAAGCGAATAAAGGCCAAATCAAAGATATTTCAGAAACTATTTGAGACTTTTTTCAGGTCAATTTTTTTTTCAGTGAAAACAGATGCAAAATTATAATTTACAGTGTGACACATAAAAATGTGGAATAGGTAGACTCAAGCTATGATGTTAAATAGTCCAATAAACATGAAACACAGCAATTGTGCAGTGCATAGTGTGTACACTGTACACTGTACATAACCATTTAACTTTATACGTTTATTTATAAGCTTCTGGTAAAACTGTGTCTTGACAACATAAAAAACACAAACTGTAGAATAACAAAAAGGAGATAAAACTGTACCTGGAGAATAATATTTCCAGAGCCGGTTTCATCTGTTGTGTAAACAAGCTTCCCCAGCAAACTTTGCTCTTGTCCTCCCTCATCAGTGTACACAATACCAGTCATATTTTCAGTACAGTCCCTTGATAAGAACAGTACAATACCAGTCATATTTTAGTATAGTCCCTTGATAAGAACAGTACAATACCAGCCATATTTTCAGTACAGTCCCTTAATAAGAACAGTACAATACCAGTCATATTTTCAGTACAGTCCCTTAATAAGAACAGTACAATACCAGTCATATTTTCAGTACAATCCCTTAATAAGAACAGTAGAATAACAGTCATACTTTCAGTACAATCACTTTATCAGAACAGTACAATACCAGTCATATTCTCAGTACACCCCCTTAATCAGAACAGTACAATATTAGTCATATTTTAGTATAGTCCCTTGATCCGAACAGTACAATACTATTCATACTCTCAGTACAGTCCCTTAGTGAGAACAGTACACAATACCAGTCATATTCTCGGTATAGTCCTTAGTCAGAACAGTACACAATACCAGTCATATTCTCGGTATAGTCCTTAATCAGAAAAGTACAGTACAATACATTAGAAAGTAAATGATGAATAAAAGAATAACAATATATCTTGACATAACAATAACGATACCACCTATACAACCCTAACAAATAACCATAGAAAAATGATACAAATCAGAAGAATAAAAGGATCCCAAAATGTACACGAAAGAAAGAGATGGACCCAAAAAACGACTTTAAAAGAACAAAAAAAAATCTAAACCCAAATGTAACATGTGACACAAACAGAATAAACCCCAAAATGGCTTCAAAAATACCTGGATCCCAAAATATCTCCTTGGCTCTCTATTTGTCTCAAAAACTCCCTGGAATTCGAACAATCATTAAATCAACAAAAAATTTGCCCATCGTCGACATTAGACGATAAATGAGAGAACTTAAAGGGGCTGTAGAGTGTAGAGTGTAGACGTGATATTAAGTAATTTCAATTTGAGGAAATTCTGATTTAGTAATACCTTGAGAGATAAATAGAAGGAAGGGGGGGGGGGGAGGGCGAATATTAAAAAAGATTAATGATTTAGTTTCCTGTGATCTGGTTCTGGTAGTATGGAGAAATCCTCACTAATATCCATTCGTATCTAAATAAGATACTATCTTTATCTTCTAATTAAATTTAAAACTTTTTTTGGTAAAATGGGTTTTTTATTGTTCAATTTCACTTTATATTAATGTTATTATGTTTTTCTCAACCACCACTATCTTTAAAACCATAATTCAGATGGAGGCACAAATATGAGCTTTCATTGGGTTTGGTGTAAAAACTGAAGAAAAAGGGAAGGGGGAAGGGAAAAGGAAAAAGGGAAAGGAAAAGGGAAGAGAAAAGGGAAGGGAAAAGGGAGAAAAGGGAAGGGAAAAGGAGAAGAGGGAAAAATGGGAAGAGGGAAGGGAAAAGGGGAAGAAGCAAAGAAAAAATAGAAAGAGGGAAGGGGAAAAAGGGGAAGAGGGAAGGGAAAAGGGGCAAGAGGGAAGGGAAAAGAAGCAAAAGGGAAAGGAAAAGGGGCAAGAGGGAAGGGAAAAGGGGGAAAGTAAGGAATACACCCCTGCAGCAAACTTCTTCGAAATTTTAGAAACCTTTAAAATAAAACTATTTTTGAAAATGGGGGGGCGGCAAAAATATGATTCTGAAATGGGGGGGGGGGGCAAAAATATGAGTCTCACAACTAATATACACCCTGAAACTATTATTTAAAACTAACTCGTGGATGTAAATGATGTAAATGTGGGGTACTTTTTTGGAAAATTCATGCTAACGCATTATTTATATTTGTCTCAGGTTCTTAAATATTTATTATGCCCATACAAAACTTTTCTATATTTCATGGATTATTTAATCGATCTTTTTCATTTTAAAATATCAATTTTTCTCCACCTTTGCATCTGTTAGAAGATTGGAACTGAGATTCATCACTGAGCAGTTTTGATTTATCTTAACAGTCTTTAAACTCTGAACCTTGGAGAACCTGGATCCGTCCTCAAACCTATCCAACCCATCCTTCTTCTTATCTCCAGTCTGGTCTGGTTCCTCTGAACCTGTGCTCCGGGTAGCGATACAGGACTCCCTGGCCAGCTTTAGTAACTCAGGGTGCTTGAAGCAAACCTAAACATAAGATTTTAACATCATGGAGAAAGGAAGAATTAAGGCTTAAGCATTTAAAAGAACGATCAAAATCTTGATTTGCTTTTCTTTTTACAATATAGACTAGTTTGAGTACAACAGTGTTGCCTAGGGTACTCAATACTCATAGTTACTCCCGCCGTTTATCCTCACTAAGTCGTAAATTACGATTTTTGCAATTTTTCCCTATACAAGTTGACCCACTTTATTCAGAATCTCAAAGCCAAGCAAAGAACATTCCTGTGCTTTTCCCGAGTACTCTATTTATTTAAGGCAAATCAGTCAAGGGGTTCATGATCTATGATCTGACATCCAAACAAACAGACATTACAACTTTATATATAGATACAGTTTTACCAGGAAATGGCTGTCCCTCCATGAATGAGAAAACAATTTCAATCCATCTTTAAGAACTGATCTTTAGGATACATAAGGGCAAACAAATAATATGCTACTTAATTGAAATCGGGACAGGGTCGTCAGCATTTTCCCCGAGACAAGGAATGGCAGTAATGACTATACCTACCAACCCAGATATAAACTCACCTGAATGAATTTCACCCCATGAGCCACCTCCTGATCCATCAGCTTATGAATCTACCCCAGGTATGAACTGACCTGAATGGATTTGACCCCTTGAGCCACCTCCTGACCGATAAGCTGGTGAATTTTCTCCAACATCTGACCTGAAGAACAATTTAAAAACATTAGTTAACGTTTAAAAAGGGACTATTTACGTCATTCAGTTATTCTAAAGGGACTGTAAACGTAATTTCATGTGACCCACCATGGATTAAGTGCATGTCATGTAATATATTTGAGCTTACTCTTTTATGTTTCCCTACAAAAAATGCATTTCTTGCTTAAGAATCATTGTGGAAATTATCAAAATTAAATACTTAATAATTTCCGAAATAACGTTATCTTCCAAATTGTTGACAACATTCAGGTTTCATGGATACCGTTGTGAATCGGACATGATCCTCCTTGTCAGTCCCTTTAATTTTGAACTCGGACACAACTTTTCCAATGAAAAAAGCTATATAGCAGATTTTAACAAATTAGAGGAACAAGAAAATGTTGTCTTTCTTTTCCGAAGTTGTATCTGAATGTCAAGCAATCAATCAGTAAATCAATCAATTAATCAATCAATCATTCAACCAGACTTTTAGGGACATATCATGACTAATACTAATCAATAATTTAAATAAGGATTTACACTTCGCGATTGATTTTTCAATGATTTTTGTTTTAAGGTTTTATTCAGGATGGTTTGTTATTGGCAATTTTAAAGTGAATTTTTAATTAAAATCATAGATACAATTTCTTTCAAATACAGATTTTCTTTTCATTACCATTTAATTAGTTTTCTATATAAATTTATTTTTGCAAACCTTTGAATGTAAGATTACAAGGAAAAGAGCAGCCACACAATGTCCCATCTCTTTTTTTCGCGCATTTCTAAAAAAAGACCACTAATATAACATAGTATAACTTTTCGACTAAGAAGATTATTCAATGACTCAGTGGTGGAGTGGAACTAGCTATTAAAAAAGAGATAATATTCTAGGTTTAAAAACAGGGAAATACTTATGGAGAATTTTCTAAAAAATAAAAATGTCTTGCAAGTGAACATTTAAAAATGAAAACTTGAAAGAAAAACAGAGAGGCTTTTCCTTTATTACGGATATATATAATATATAACTCAAACATTCATTTCTATTCCCCAATTCAGCGAGAGAAAGAAATCCTCAACAATTGTTTCCAATTCGGGCAAACATCCTAAAAAAGTGGTGGGAAGGGGGGGAGGGAAATAATTTGTCAGAAATATACACTCCCGTAACTATTACCGTACAGTACCCCTCCAGGTATTCCTCGAGTGCGGACTGAACATCTTTGTGAGTAGTTTTACACCCGGGCAGCTGGCAGACCAGACGCTCATTCTTCGTAGATACAGACATTTTTCTGAAATAAACGAGAAATTTTGAGGTGGTTTTTTTTTACAATTTTTAACTTGACAAAAATTGTGTGTCCTCAACAATTCTGAATTATCAAGTGTTAGGTTAGAAAAGTAGAGTTTGAAGCAAATACTCAGTTAATCACATTTCCGTTTTTATTGTTTTCCCTCAGATTTTTTAAGTTACCTAAAGTGTGAACTAAAACTTCGCAAAAGGCTAAATTATAAAAATGTGTGGAAACAAAAACCGAATGAATTTGCATACTTTTCAATCTTTTATTGCTCCATGAACCTTCTCTAAGTGTGTTCTAAGATAAGCTAGACGAGCAGCTTGGAACTCGCAATGCTCGCACTGAAAAGGTCGAGAATGATCCTTTTCTCTATGTTTCCTCAGTATATGCGGACGGTTTGAGACAAAATCACATTTATTGCAGAAATATTGTTTATGTTGAGAGGATTTGTGCTTCTTTAAATGATACAATGTACTGCCGGCAAAATCACAGATATCACATGGAAAAGCAGGACTGTGCTTTGTTTTCTTGTGCACCTTCAGATGTGAGGAATGGTTGCAAGTGTAATCACATTCATCACACAGCAGTCTTACAACACCCTCGTGTTTAGTCTGAATGTGAACTTTTAAATTGTACATTTTCGTCGCAGAATATGTACACTGATCACATTGAAACCGAACACCGTCATGTTTAATAGCTTTATGCTCCTTGAGAAGATATTTCAGGGGAGAAAAATAATCACATTTATCACACTGAAATCTTAAATCTGTCAGATGTTTAATTCTTTTATGTACTCGTAAACTATGCTGACTTTTGGATACATGTTCACACTTATCACAGGAATATCTTGCTTCGCTTGAGTCATGGACGGACTTCATGTGTTTTACTAGATAACTCTCACCAGTCGTGGTAAACTTACATCGAGTACATTTAATTCGTTTAGGTGCATGCACATTCTTGATATGCTGCTTTAAATGACTGGTTCTTGACGCCACATACTCACATTTATCACAGGGATATTGTTTCCCTAGATGTACAAAATTATAATGTATTCTCCAGGTTGAATAGGTTTTAAACACTTCATCGCATTCTTTACATGGAAAACTGGAATTGTTAATTTCATCCTGAGCAAATGTAAAATCTAGATTGTTTTCATCATTTTCGTCTTCAGTTTTACCATAATCTGGTGTATCCACGTTTATAGAATTAAGTCTGATGAAATTTGAGTTCTCATATCTATAATCAATAACCTCTAAATCAGCATCTTCGCCAACATCTCTGTCCTCTAAGTCTTTACCATTGTCATTTTTTCCGTTCTTATTTTCTTTATTTTTATCACATTTTTCTAAATCTGTCCGCTCTAAATCGTCCGTTCTATCAAAATCTATTGTGTCATCGTCTTTGCCAGAATTCTCCCTAGGCTCCATTTCCCGCCATTTTCTTACTTTTCCCTCAATTTCTGTTTTATTTAATAGAATCAATGCGTTGTTGCTACTTTTCAACAAATTGTTAGATTTCATAAATTCCAACAGAACTGTTGCCTTTGTCCCGCACAATCCGAGTTTAAATCTTAAAAACAGAATAAATCTTTCTTCATTTTCCGCGCTTAAATTAATATTTTCCCCGCGACCTAGACTGTCTGCTAATCTGTAGACGAGAGCTTTCTGCTTCCAGGAGGAAATATCCCGAGGTTCTAAACTTGAAGTTTTTTCGTAGACCATCTTGACAAGGTTACTTGAGCAAGGAATTAATTCTCGGGCACTGCAGGGCCCACACACAAATCTTTCTGAAAAAACAATAACATTTAAATATTAAGAATAGTAAGTTGTTAAAAAAGTGATCAGAAAAAGAAAAATACAATAAAGTATTTTTTACTCAAATGACAAAATTTTGGTATTGTCTAATGCCCGATTTGTTAGACTCTTATTGACAGAACTGATCTAGGATCCAAATCCATTTAAAACAAAAACGGAGCTAGTATATCCGGATCCATTTTACAGGACGGATCCAGGATCCGGAACCATTTGTTACGGGAAGGATTTAGGATCCGCATCCATTTTCACAGACTTAAATGCGTTGCCTACCCCTAGCATTTTTAGTTCACGATTACGTTAGGAAACGTCAGAGTACTGATTTTCCTCTTTCCAAGACATTCATTTAAAAAGACTCTTCCTCCAAATTTTCAATTATAAAAGTAAATTTATAAAAAAGTAAATATAATATTAGCATGGCAAATTATCATAATATCGAATATTTATTATTGCTTAATGTACACCTTTATTGAAGAAATCTGAATAAACTTCTTCCTGATCTAGTTCATAACAGCTCCCGTGATACAAGAAACCACATCTAAAATTCATTCATAACCAAAATTAAGATTAAATAAAATTAAAAGGTATAAATAAGGTAAAAGGAATGATCAATTTCAGGGGTTATATTATTCAGAACTACCCCCCCCCCCAGTGCGAGAAGTCATGTTTGAAGATGAAAAATTGGACATCCATAAGCAATTTTTTTCATTCTTTTTGCAAGTATAACCAATAATTCATTGGGTTTCCCCTAAAAATAATCTATTTCCCCGATTCATCGAATAAAACCCTTTAAAAACGTCAGTTCTACGAAATTATATAAACTGATGGAGAAAAATGTTGAAAATGGTTATTCGGGAAAATATAAAAAAGTATAGCTTTCCAAATTTTTAGTAAAAATGAATTATTAAATAAACTTCTCTGTGAAATAACGTTCATATGATTGTTTTTGATATTAACTAAGACAACTTTTTATTTTCAGGATATTGTACTTCTTGTTTTAAATATTCTTGCCGGATTCCGACCACAGGAGATCCAAGAGGAATTAATTTAATCTTTTGACAAAAGTTACAGATTACTGCTTGATCCCAAAATTCACACCTCAAAAGTTTTGACCTTTGTTTCCCCTCCTAGATTTAAATCAGTTCTTTAATCTTTTATTTGATAATTACCTCCAGCATTCAAGATTATTTTCAGAATCTGGGAATATGCCTTCACAATGACAATTAAACAATATATCACACTTCTTAGTGGAGGTGTCAGGGCCCACAGATCCAACCAGGGAGGTTTCAGGGCCCACATCAGAAAATCTGCAGCAAGCTAGGTACTCGGCCATTTTCCTGAATCAAAATGAAATTTTAAAAATATTGCTAAAAGACTTAGATATTATCAAATAAGGACATATTGAATGGAACTGTAAACGTGATTTCAAGTGACCCTCCATTTAAAGATGGGTTTGTCCGATCCACAACAGAACCATTGAAACCTTTGTATGATAAAAATTACGATAACGTCGGCTTTTCAGCTTGAAAATCGTATACCGGGACGGACACGGCAAGTTTTTGTAAATTTGATCATCCAAAACCCTTCCCTGGGGTCACGTGAGGTCCCACAAAAATTTGGGCCCAATCGGTTCAGCCGTTTAGACGTTTATTGGATATAAATAAACAAACACCAACCCAGACAAAGTAGAAATATAGATTATAGATAGATCGAAGATGAACAAACCAATCACTTTTAAATTATTTTTTTGAAAATATTGTTCTTTTGAATTGCATGATCACTATAGTTCTATCATCTAAATTACTTTTAATTAAATTGTAATCAGGCATTTTTTAGGCCGGACCAACAAATATATAGACCAGGAACGCCCAACTCAGATATACACAAATTCTGTACTGTACACTGTGGGAGGAATGTAAACAAATCCAGTGCCCCCACAGCAGTTGAAGAGAAAGGATTAAACACTGATAAACAGAGTGATGTTACAGTCAAAAACAAAAGAAACTAGTTAATTTATTAAGTTAGTGCGGATACAAATTATTTATTTAAATATGATTTCTGGGTTTCAGATCAATATGGAAAATTTATTCATGCTCAGTGAGATTTGTTCAACTATAAAGGAGAAGCAAGGTAAAAAGATTCCCACTTATCCTTGTTTCCGAGGTTTAACTTTCTTTTAAAATGTAAAACCTTTCATCTCAATGTTTAAATCCTTCCTCCCAAGGTTTAAATCCTTCCTCCCGAGGTTTACATCCTTCCTCCCAAGGTTTAAATCCTACCACCCATGATTTACATCCTTCCTCCCAAGATCTACATCCTTCCTCCCAGGGTTTACAACCTTCCTCCCAAGGTTTACATCCTTCCTTCCAAGGTTTACATCCTTCCTCCCAAGATTTACATCCTTCCTCCCAAGGTTTAAACCCTTCCTGCCGATGTTTGTATCCTTCCCCCCACCCCTGAATTCTTTGTTTTGATTGCCTCCCACTGCAGTACACAAAATTGACGCATTAGATATGGCGGTTCCTGGTCTATATATTTCTTGGGCCGGACGATGCGGCCACAAATCTAAAAATCATAAGGGAAAAATCAATTGACAGAATTGACATGACCCTGGCCTCTTAATAACAGAAATATTAATTGATGGGTTGTAAAGAGAAAAAATTATAATTGAGGGTTTTCCATGTATCATGAACAGGAATTAAATTGATTATAAGCGCTAAGTATCAGTATCTGAAGTTCAAGGAATTTCTAAAGTTTGTTGTGATTCAAAAAATTAGCGCAAATTAAAAGTTTGCGCCGCGTAAGTGTTTAAACTTCAAGGAAGACGATTTTTCCTTATCCCATTATTTAGATGCTTTATACTAATGTCCGATTGAACTAACATACATTTGCACTAAAGTCAGCTAATCAGAAACAAGTTTGTATGACGATTTAACAATAGTGCAAATTAACACAAATCGAGCTTTACTGTGTTCAATTGGACTGTAAAGTTTTATTTTCCCGCCAGGAATTTTCACGCCATATTTAGTACAAATGCTCTATAGTGCAATATTGATCTAGAATACTTAAAATATTTGTTAAAACAAATTAATTTTTTTTGGTAATTAATTAGTGCAATTGAACGTCAGTGCAAATAAAAATTTCCAACAAAAAATTTGTTTAAACAGACTAATGTTTTTTCTGTAAATATTAGTGCAATTGATCCTGCATTAGTGCAATAAGGAACATTTTTAACAAAAATTTGTAGAACCGATCTAATGATTTTTTTTCTTAAATAATCATAATTTTTGGGCATAATGGTGAAACTTTAGATTTAATTTTGATTGAACATTTTTTGTTCAATTTGCAATAAAATATGTTCATTTGTACTAATTCTAGCTAAGGTAAATGTGCAAATGATGAAAGTATAGATTTTAGTTTGGTTGAACATTTTTTTGTTAATTTTTCTAAAATAAGTTCAATTGCACGAATTATAATTTATGGGCAAAATGGTAAAATTTAAGATTTTAGTTCGATTAAACTAACTTTTGTTCATTAGCACTAAAATAGGTTCATTTTTTATAACTTTGTTTTTGCCCACACTTTTAGCTTTATGTACAATTAAAGATTTTTTGTTCATTCCCACTAAAATATCTTCAATGGAGCTATAATTGAGAAAATTAGCCTAATTCCGATCATTTCCGCTAGAATTTAAAAAGATAGTTCTCCACTTCCTCAAGAAATCTTCCACGCGGATTTTAGTTTGATTCAACAATTAAGTGTTCATTCGCACTATATAGTGCGAATAAACGTACTAATCCAAATAAACGTTAATACGAATGTACATTTGTCTGATCAATTTCATTAGTGCAAACGTTATTTCACCAGTAACTATTAAGAAATTTTAAAAAATTGTTTTTATTTGACTATTTGATGACTGATTCAACAAGTTGATAGTTAAAATCATAATCATTTACAATATAACTTACAGGGAATTAACGGGAATTATACTTTACCATTGGGAACCCGCGGTTAAGTTATAACTATGTATGAAACTTATACATGTGTACCTTATCAAGTTATCAATGCATTCATAATCATACTTCATGGTGAATTTTATTATTGACTTGCTATAAAATGATAAAAGAAATCGTCGTTTTATTTTTGCTTTGCTGAAAACTTATTATATCTAGAAATAACCATTGAACTTAAATTTTCTCTGTATATCTCGAACCTTCTTGATAAAGAGAAAATTTCTGTTTAAAAACTCTATAGCACTGAGAACCAAAATAATAGTGATTTAAATATAGATAATATTATTTTGTTTCTTCTTTTTAGCTAAACCATTTAATGGCATAACATGTTCATCTACATATCATGCATATTTTAGTTTAAAATTTTGGTAAAATATTAGTGTAAAATTTTAAACAGAGTTTACTATTTTTGATAAAGTTGACAAATTCATGTTGATCTTTAAATCTTTTCAGATACCAATCTCAGACGGAAACAGCGCAGCTTTTTAAATTCTTAACTAAAAGATGTCCAAATAAACATGCGGAGTTGATAGACGACTTTTATTTTTAATTATTGATTAATGACATAAAGTTGATTAAAAAAAAGATTGAAAGTCTAATGTGGTTTCCAAATGTGGTCAACCTCCTTTGTATCTTAAAAATTGACTAAGTTATTAAGCATTTAAACCGTTATGTTGATTTTTGATAAACTTGAATCTGGACAAATTTCTTGTTATCCAGTTGTTAATTTTAAGGTAAAAAAAGGGTAGACCACATTTTCGAAATCACGAGACTATGGTAGTTTTCGGTGTAAAATGTTTGACTGGGATATTACAAAATATATTAACGAAATAATCCTGCATGGAATAAAGACGATATAGAAGTCGTCAATAAATTGCCATGCTTATTGGGAACCCTGTACTTGTTTTAAAAAAAAATCATTTATTTGACTGAAAAGTTAGAAATCATTAATTTGACTGAAAAGTTAGAATGCAGGCAGTGGTAAACAAAAACTTGGAAAAATTATGAAGCTTCAAGCACAACTTAAATTCAAGTCAATAAATGAAAAAATGTAAAAGCCAAGTATTTGGTTTTGGAAATCGATTTGCTGGACGTGAGAAAGAGTTGGGGAGCCTGGCAGACGTAGCATGAGGATCGGAGACGATTTTGATTGGCTAGAAGTTGGCTTGGAGACCACTCTGCGAATCAAGACGCTCTGGAGGTCAGTTTGCGGGGCTCTGCACCCCCTCCCTTGTGTAACTCAACCATTTTTCATTTGCTTTGCGCCCTTTCACACTATTGTGAACACCCTCTTCAAAATTTCAGGGTAAAATTTTAGTCGGTATACACTTAACAGTCGGGTCTTTAAAATTGTGGAATAGGAAGACGACTTAAGCAATCTTATGTTAATTTAATGTTAACAAAAAAATTTCAATTTAATTGAGATTCAACCTGTTTAGTGAAAAAGGTGTGTACAATTTGCACAATTGCTGTATTAATCATAAATCCTGCAGAACTCGATTTTAGAAAGTAAAATTTTCTTCCTATTCCATAGTTGGCCCACTTTAGTCAATTCCTTTCAGTGTTTGATGCATATTTCCCAACACATGGTTGAATTCCAAATCTGCTCAGTTTTGTATGATACAGTGATTACAACGAATATTTAAAGCATGATGCAGGGATGTATTCTGGGGTCGGGAGGAGGAACACCTTAAATTAGGGAAACTATTATTTTCGATGTGAGCCCTCAAATAAAGAATGCTAAGGTGTACTACGGGCCTGCCCGTATCCTGGATTACAATCCTGATTTGTTTACTTAATTACTAATATGATAGATACCTGGTACGCATATATCTGGTAACTTGAGATGAGTCCTTGATCTTTTATGTTGAGGTTCATGTTCCAACTTAACCGCACACCCTGAGCTCCTTTAGTAATTTTAAGTATTGGTCTTGGAGGTAGATTCTGCAAGTGAGGATTTGGGGAGTTTGGAAGCAGAGGTACTGGGTGCCTGGGTTCTGGAACTGTATTTCTGACAATAACAACTGTTTGCGGATGTCCAGGTAAAGGTCGGTCAATCTTAGAAGCTACAGCTACATGGGCAGAAGGAGCAGGGCTTTCATCATCAGACAGATCAACTATCTCAGGTTGGGGTGCTGGAGTAATTTTGGGAGACAGGTTGACTTTGGCTTTAACGTTAGCTGACTGGGGTTTGTTGATATTTGGTTCATGGATTTTTACTCCCGGATTAATTGTTTGTACTGCAATTTTAAGTTTGGGATGAGAAGCTCCAGCAGCATGCTTTACAATCATTGGTCTTGAGTCCTCAGGTAGAGCGGGTCTCTTAAGTTGTGGCCTAGCTTGTTCTTGTCCAGGCATCACTTGTAGTCCTACACTTCTTGTTATACGCTTTACAGTTTTTTTACTACTTGTATTGGTTCTTGATTCAATCAAATACCTTCGGACAACACTTGAAAGATCTTTAATCTGCTTTTTAAGTGTTTCAGTTTGCTGCTTCCAAAATGCTATGTCACCCTTACATTTGTCATCTCTACTTTTTAACTCAGCAATCTTGGCTTCATGATTAAACAATCTAGTAACCTGTTCCAGAGAAAACTCTTCCAATTTCTCTCGAGATAGTTTTTTAACTATCTTCTTTAAATCATTTGGGACTTGAGAATCCCCACTTGCTAGTTTCCTGTCAACTTTCCTCTTTTTTGAAACAGCATCAACATCTACAGTTTCAGTTGTTCTCTTTTTAGATCTTCTTGTATTTAACAATATTCTAAAATAGTTTTTAAATAATTTTTTCTTCTATTTAACAAAAAATGAATGAATGTATTTAAAAAATCATCTTTAAACATTTACTAAATACCTGCAATCACTTTCATTGCAATCTATGGTGGTAGTTTCAAGTATCGCATCCGCTGCTTCTTTCTGTGTTGTTTCTTCTTGGTTAAGCATTAATTCCTTGGTAACAGCTTTACTTGGGGGCATTACATTGTCCTATTAACCAGCAAATATTACGATTTGTATAGCCCACAGTTTAGTTCTAAGATCTTATTTGAGATATACAAATAAAAAATTGTAAGTGTTATTTCTTATTCAGTGTGCCTTTAATCCCCCCCCCCCCACCCCACTTCTTAAAAATAGAAATTTTCCGAGACTGTCCAATGTCCATCTATCAACTCATGACATAACCTGGAACAGTATAATCCCAAGAGGTTGCTATGTTTCAGAAGAAGCTGCAGAGGGGTGTATAATTTCTTGGAAAATCAATATTCCCCCCTCCCCCTTTAATTATTAATAATTCTCTTTCCCAAGAAGTTGGGAATATGTTTGCACAGATTGGCCAAAAAAAATTAGGATTTTTTCACTGAAATGGGGAAAATAACTGATTTTCTGAGGATAATAAATAAATTTCTAGGTAAAAGTGTAAGAAAGGGTGATGACCTTGGCCTTTATCTTTAACAATCATTTCCCATAAAAATACTTCCCTGGAAGAAGGGGTGGGAGAATTGGAGGGAGATTTACAAGATTAAAGGCCAAAAAAAGTATTTGCTGTTTCCTCATCTTCCTCTTCCATCTCTACATCTGATTCATTATCATCAACTGCCTCAAGGCAAATCTCATTATGTATCTCTGGACTAGGTTGAGGTACAGGACCATCCTTAGACTGAGGTTTGTCAGTAAATCCTTCAGCATAGCTTTTCTCATGAGGAAAAGTTGAGTCAGATTTTTCCTAAGTAAAAGAATTCAACTAACTTATTTACGGTAGTGTTCATTACTATACTTTGCACAATGCACACACAGATTTTTATGCTATAAAAATAAATACATATTATAATATATGGAACATTCTTTTTTCAACAAAAATATATATTTATTAAATAATGAAAACAGGTTACAAACATTAATAAATCAGCTGTGATATTGCACATGAGCCTGATAGTTGTATGATCCAAACCTGCCAAAGGATTTACTTGTCTAGTGTTAACTCATACCAGACCGTCTAGGGTACCTAGTATGAGGTTGACCAAGAGCATTTTATTCAGCAAAATTATGAGGGGCGGGCTGAACCTATGAGGTTGTAGAGGCAATTATCTCCCTTTATAGATTTATATCTGCAAAAGCACTCTTCCTGAAAAAAATCTAAATAATTTGTATGTTTTTAGCTGGTCTTTAATTGAAAACAAACTATTGTTATCAAAATCAATAAATTTTATTAAAAGTAATCATATTCTCTACTTACCATACACCCTATAGACCTCAAGCTATGACAAAAGTATTCTCTCCCAAGAAAACTTTGGAACCAAATAGGATTACATATTTTTAATTCAGCCATTTCATTTAAAAGAATAGAAAGACAGGACAAGAGAGGTAGCATTTTTTTGTAAAATTTTAGTTCATAGTAACTCTTTTGAGTATTCCTTTTTGTCATATCCATAATAAGCTGAGCATAATTAGCAAAGAGAAAAAAACAGTTAAAATTCATTAATTTTTTAGAAAAATATTATATACAATGATCCTACATTTAATGACTAATACTAAATTTTACCAAAAAAGAAAACTTTTCCATTTAAATCAGGGTTCTTGCAAAAAAAAATATTTACTAAGAAAAAGAACAATAATTACCTGTCTTTTGTTGAATCTTGAAACTGCAGAAAATTGACATGTTTTAACTTTTCACAAATGAATTTTTTGTCAAATCGCATGTGTATGATATATGTTATACATCAATAGCTCTATATCAAATGATCAATAGCTCCAAATGATAAATAAAAGACTGGGTTTGTCATTTGATATGAGGGCAACCCACCAGATTGGAAACATCTACTTCTAAAGAATTTTTTTAACAAAATCATCAGGAGCACAGGGGGTGTTGGAGGCGAAGAGTTTGTATTATGTAAATGGAGATGTGGACTGTCAATACTACAATGCATAATTAAAGATGTAAAAAACAATTACTTATTCTTAATAGGTAGGTTTGAGGGTAAACTTACATTTAACTTATGCTCTTAATGTTAATACACGGACAGCCGTAGTACGTTTGAATTTCCGAGCGGGGTCAACCTTTCCGGTCCTAGTTTGTACTGTATCGCCCGAACATAGGGTAAATAAAGAAGACACTCAATAGTACTAGCCAGTGCAACAAGGTTGACGCGTTCAGACTTTAGGTTGAATTTACTTTTACTGAAGACTGAAGAGTCAGAGGTGCGTGAATAACATAAAAAAATATTTCTGTGTGTGCACTGAGCATAACAAACAAATATTTATAAAACACTACTGTGAGAAATCATTTTTCAAGTACTGGTTAATTTATTATGCAATTCTGAATCAATCTTAGCCCCCTTTCGTTTTCTTTTCATTTTTATATTCAGTTTAAAGCCAACCTATCCCTAACATCTTTTCCTGCCTATTAAACTTAGTTAATCTTACCTAACACTTGGTAAAAATGCCAATATCTAATAAGAAAATCTGCTACTGACTGTACCTGGAAATTAACCTTTTCGCCACCAATCTTTTTCTCTAATTCTTCTGTATCCATTTGATCCATCTCTGACTCTAAGTCTGTTAGAACCATCTCTTTATCCTTTTCAATGCTTTTTTCTAACTCTTCTTCAATGCTTCTTACTTTCTTCAGTTCTTCAGTTGATTCAGAATGGATACTCACATCTTTAAGGGCTTCTTCAGGGTTTTCATTTTCTTTGTTGCTTGAAGGCAAGGAACTGATATCTTTAACACAATTTGTCTCAGAACTTTGAACCTGGTTGAAGAAACTCTTTTCTCGGAACTTGTCTAAAAATATCAGGTCCATTATTGTTCTAAAAAATGATTAGATGTCCACAGGGTTTCATTTCACAGTTAAAATAAAAAAGAATTCTTCAACTTTGTGTAAATTCTCAGTCTTTAACTTGCTCTTTACAGGGAGAAATGGAAAACCTGAACAATTTAAGCTACAAGTTTTTAATTTTCTTGGAAAAGTAAAAAATTATTTTTTATCATTTTCACAAAATAAAATATTTTTTAAGTAAGTGGTTTTTTTGTTCATTATATAGAAAAACAAAAATACAAAATTAAGAGATTGGGAAGCAAAATATTTAAAATCTCAACAAAAGAGGTTATGAGAATATTTCCCTCCAATTCTAAAAGAAGGAAAAGGAAAGAAAAGCTTCATATTATCTGTTAACATTATCCTAAAAGAAAAAATAACTGAAAGAAAGAGGAAACCTTGAGATTGGAGAGGAGAGGCAACATCCATTTTCGTAACACAGAATATTCTCTGGTTTGACTTAACAGGTGAAAAATCAGTTTTCTGAAAAATAAATGTAAGAAATTTTTTTCAAAAGAACAGGAGAATTTGTTCACATCTCCTTGTTTTTATTAGCAGACAACACATTTCTTATAGAAAGTTGTGTTAAGTCAACATTAAAACAAAACAAAATTAAAAATTACGAAAGAAAATATTTTTTAAGAAATGGGAAAGAGGAGGTTTACATTTGACCATTATTCATAAACTAATTTGAATATTCCCCGAGCCCAATACTCATTCTTTTCTCACAGCGTTTAGATTTGTCCAAGTAACATATCAATTAAAAATTGTTATGAAAATTGTTCAGCATTTTTTTGGGCATATTGTATTATATCAAGCAAAACAACTTTTAAGCATATTTGCCCTTATCACAGCACATCACATGCAACTATAGGGCTGTGCATAAATGCTCCATTCCATGCAAATTTGCTTGCACATTCTGTGGAATTCCATATTTTAGCGTTAAATATGCCTTAAAATTTATATGTTAATTAACAATATTTAACGTTAATTAACATTAAATGTAATGTTGAAAAACCATAATCCAGCTATCCACATTGCTTAAGCAGGGTAAACGCATATCATTTTGACTCCAATGACACAATTACAACAAAAATCTGCGGAACTACATATTTCAAATTTATTGTAAATATCTAACTTTTCTAAAGAAAATGTTTTATAACCCAGCTCTAAGTAAATATATCATGAATTTGTGGATATGTGATTATTTTATTTCAGGCATAAAAATTGGTAAAAAACTCAGTTTGAGTAATCACCTTAAACACTATTTAAATTATTTGTGAAATATCTTTCAGATATGGAATTATTGCGTTTTCCTTAAGTTTTTGAAAAAGTGAAATTTTTAAAAGAATTTAAGTTTTATTTTTTTACCATTAAAATTGGGTAAAATTGCGCTGTATTTGCGCTCTGTTTTGGATGTTTAAAGAATTTTAGAATAAGGTGTCCATAAGAGTTTGAGTGTGTGCATCCATGTATATTTAACTTGTTTGACATAAAAATTTTAAAAAAAGTAAGAAAGTTTGGATTCAATTTTCTTTCTAAAAGTTTATCATTTAGAAGTCAAGATTTGGGTTTAAAAATTATTTTTACTTGTTAAGAAAAAAATAATTTCATTAAAAAATGCACTGAATTCTCTTGTGAAGTTTAAAAATCTTTTATGACTGTTTAAGAATCTAACATCCTTCAGCTCTATGTAAAATTGTGTTCTCTGTTACAGGAAACAGTTAAGAAAGAGAACCGGATGGTGTGGGGGGGGGGGCTAAGTGCATGCATCCTTTCACTTTAAGTGAAATCTAAACATTGATAATTGATAAATTACAAAGAAAAATTACTGAATTATGGTACTAGAATATAGCCAGGTAACAAAAGTGAGAAATTTCCCAAGATTCTCCAATTGTGATGACTTTCTTTGAAGAATTTCCAAGGAATTTCTCGAGAATCATTTCCCATAAATGATTCCTCAGAAATTCTCGAAAAATTCCCCAGAATTGGTCCCAAAAATGAGAGATTTTGGGGGGATCACAGTTTCAAGAATTCCTGAGAAATTCTTCAGAATTTTTCCCCATTGAAATTCCTCAGAATTTCTCCGGAAATTCCTGAGAAATTTTTAGGACTTGGTCACCAAGTTTACAGATTTTTAGGGGAATTACATAGGAGAATTAGTTTTGAGAAATTCCTGGGAATTTCTCTGGAATTTCACCCCAAGAAAGTCCTGAGAATTTCTCCGGAATACTTCTCCGGAAATTTTTGAGAAATTCTTAGGACTTGGTCACCAAGTTTACGGATTTTAAGGGGATTTAAATAAAAGAATAAGTTTTGAGATATTCTGAGAATTTCTCTGGAATTTTTCTCAAGAAATTTTGGGTATAATGGAATTATATGACTACAGAGAGACACTACTTGGGGACGCCAACTAGAGAGGGAGTGGGGGGGGGGTTTGACTCCGGGGCATCAGCTGATTTGGAGAGGCGGGGGATAGACAAAACTAAGATTTTCTCAAATGCCCCGTTTTCTTAAAATTCTCGGAAATATGTAAGACATGTGGCTGCAGCGCTCGGCCCCCTAGCCTGTCCTAGCCACAGCGCTCAGTCTAGAAAGTGTCTTAACTTAACCTAATCCATGGCCCCAGCGCTTGGCCCCCTAGCCTGTCCTAGCCGCAGCGCTCCGCCCAGAAAGTGTCTTAACCAAACCTAACCTTAAATAATAAAAAAATAAATAATGATAAAGGGGATGGTGGAGTTGGCACATTTGATGAAGGGGGGGGGGGGCCCT